GACATAGGAACTAAAATTATACAATGAAAATTATACAATGAAAAAAAAAGAAAGTATCTTCAACAAATGGTACTGGCATAATTGGAGGCTGACATGTAGAAGACTGCAGATAGATCCATGCCTATCGCCATGCACAAAACTTAAATCCAAATGGATCAAAGACCTCAACATAAATACAGCCACACTGAACCTGTTAGAAGAGAAAGTGGGAGGTACTCTGAATGAATTGGTACAGGAGACTGCTTCCTGAACATAACTCCAGTAGCACAGACACTAAGATTGACAATTAATGAATGGGACCTCCTGAAACTGAGAAGCTTCTTTATGTATCAGATTTTCTTCATCCATTCTTCAGTTGAGTGGCATCTAGGTTGTTTCCAGGTTCTGGCTATGACAAATAATGCTGGTATAAATATAGCTGAGCAAATGTCCTTGTGGTATGAGTTTACATCTTTTGGCTATATGCCCAAAAGTGGCACTGCTGGCTCTTGACGTAGATTGATTTCCATTTTCTGAGAAACCACCATACTGATTTCTTTTTAAAAATTTTTAAATTTAAATTTAAATTAGAAACAATGTTGCTTCACATGTCAATCCCAGGTCCCTCTCCCTTTCCCTTCCCTCCTCCCATGCCCTCCCACTACCCTCACCAGGACCCTCTCATTTCCCAGGGAGGGTGAAGCCCTCTGTGGGGTGTCCATAGTGTGTTGTTTCACCCATGGCAAGGCCTAGACCCTCCCCTAAGAGTCCAGGGTGAGAGTACATCTCTCATTGTGGGATGGGCACCCAAAGTCCATTTGTATGTGAGGGATAAATACGGATCTCCTGATTTCTAATGTCGCTGTACAAGTTTGTACTCCTACCAGTAAGGAGGGAGTGTTCCACTTACTCCATATCCTCTCCAGCATAAGCTGTGTTTTTGATGTTAGCCATTATGATAGGTGTAAGATGGTATCTCAGAGTCATTTTTATTTTCATTTCCCTGAGGGCTAAGGATGTTGAGTAATACCTTAAATATCTTTCAGCCATTTGAGTTACTTCTGTTGAGAATTCTGTGTTTAGATCTGTACCCTGATTTTTAATTGGATTATTTGGTATTTTGGCATCTAGTTTCTTTAGTTCTTTATATATATATATGTATGTATGTATGTATGTATGTATGTATGTATATATATATGTATGTATATATATATGAGATTGTCCCTCTGTCAGATGTGAGGTTGGTGAAGATCTTTTCCTATTCTCTTGGCTTCCATTTTGTCTTATTGACCATGTTCTTGAGGTATGACTTTTTACAGAGGTCCTGCTGTGCAGATGAGTACTTGAGAAGCTGATACTGGATATAAACTCCTGCTGTGGGTAGACACAACAAATTATCAGAGCTGGGATGTGTAAATGTGGGTCTGGGCCTGGGGTAGTACCTGTGGCATGACACTAGGCTCTCATGGAACCAAGTTGAGGTGGAGCCAGCCACCAGTGACACTCCATGGTGATAGCCTACAGTTTAAGACTTGTCTCTGAAGTCAGAGAATGCTGCAAGTACATGTCTGCAGATGCTCAAAAAGCCAGGTCCAGACTCAGAAAATCTCTAAAAACATACAATGTACTTAATAAGATGTTTAGATAAAGAAGAAAAGATAATGGGTAAAACAGGCATAGGAAATATAAATATTTTAAAAATAATAAAGTCTTTAAAGAAAATACAGTAATATAAAAATAAGACATGTAAGGATGAAAAATATTATAACACATGGAGTTTGGACCTTAGGTGCTTTGTTAATTTTGAATTTTTAATGCTAATGAAAAGAGAATGGAAGCTGCTGGGAGATATTGGATTATGAAAGAGGCCTCTAAATTAAACCAGCCTATATATTTTAAGGCTGTCTTAACTTTAAAATCGAAGTCAGAAAATATGTTGCATTGGGGGAGAAGTCATGATTTTGTTTCCACAGGAAACAAAGAACTATGGATTCTTTCAGAATTAATGAAGATTATATTAGGGGCAAAAGACCTCCTGAAAATCTTGGTTTACAGACATGAAGAAAAGAAAACAAGAAAAACCTATAAGACAGGTGATGTATAAACTGATCCCTCAACATGGGAACAGCTCTGAGACTGGATGAATCATGATAAACATTGTTGGTTACAGAGTCCTCATGAATTATTATTACATACCAGCCTTTCATATAACATGGATAGAGATTTGTTTATTCAGTTCAAACAGATTTATAAAGTTAACAGATACCTTTTTCTTGTTCAAACATAAAACAAAAATATCATCTTTAGCTGACTTGTGCATACTGCACATTCCACACTTGTGTTAATGCAAATATATGTTACCTCTAAAAGTCCGTGTGTTTTCAGGAAAAAAAGACCAGATCCACATAAAGACAAGTAGTCCAGATGATTCAGCCTCTCAGAATGCCTTTGTTGCAATTTCCTCAAAATTCTACATCCAGAACAACTTCAGAGCTGCTAGCTGAGATGGTTAAGCCTCACGAACTACACCAGCCAGGACTTCAAATAAGCTCTATACTTTCCCATTACACAGAAACTAGACAACAAATGATAAAGCTAGCTCTCCCAGGACTTGAACATTATCCCAATTTTCTCAGTGTCCTCCTAAAGATGCCATTAACCCCAGACAACAGGAAGCAGTTTAGAGAACACAATGCCCATATTCCCAAGAGGTGGGGTGGTGGTTTTTGGTCATTCAGCAGGTTATAAATATTGGTCATCATTTATGGAGGAATATTGGAAAGATAGGATAAAACGATAGATTATTGAATCTACTTAAATAGACTTTAAAGAAACTACTGGCATCAAATATTCTAGGCCTGTAGACTGTCAAGATGAATGCTCCAATGTTGCAGAGGAACCTCGGGTGACTGTCCAAGTATTCAGATGTCTTTGTCATTTCTGTAGTTTTGGAAGTTGCTTGACCTTCACTTCCTGTTTACTCAGGAAATGAACATCCTTGATCTTGATCTTTATCACTTCAAGATATTGGTTCTTTGATGGGGATGAAAACTAGATAGTTACAGTTTTCTTTGTTACCAAATTTGGAAAGGAAACTCACAAAAGAGATGTAAAATCTATGAGGTTGAGAGACATAAAAATTTATGCTGTTTATCTAAGAAAATGTTTTGAGGCCTGAAAAGACAGTTTTGGATTGGTAATGCAAGTTAGGATAAAAAGTGAATTAGGTATAGGATTTTTGACTCATCAAGTTAGAACAGGTAATGGAGTATTTTCTCTGAATTATTCAAATACTAATAGACTGAACATTGCAAATGTAATTTTTACCTGATAATTTTTGTTGTATATATTTTACTGTGTTAGTGTTAAAATCTTTCCTTTTTATTTAGACAAAAGGGGGAAATATTGTGGATATATTTGCACACTGTATGAAGACGTGTTGCTGTGATTGGTATAATAAAAAGCTGAACAGCCAATTGCTAGGCAGGAGAGAATAAGGCAGGACTTCCTGGCAGAGAGAAAATTCTGGGAAGAAGAAAAGTGGAGTTGCCATCCAGACACAGAGGAAACAGGATGGGCAGTATTGAAATGAGGTAACAAAGCTCATGGAAAAACATAGATTAAAAAATATGGGTTAATTTAAGTTATAAGAACTAGTTAGGAACAAGCCTAAACTAAGGGCAAGCTTTCATAATTAATAAATCTCTGTGTCATTATTTGTGAGCCTGCAGTCCTAAGAAATATCCAACTATACCTACACGTAACTCCTTCTTCTTGTGATGAGCATTTACATGAGACACAATATCTTCATGTCCTTTGCCCACTTGGAGAGACCTATCCACATACTTCTTTCTTAGATGGCTTTCTCACCAATTTTCCAATCATATTCTTTCTGAGTTCCTTACCATTCAGTCAATCCATTGGCTAGCACCTGTGAATCAGTGAGCAATTCTGGAATTTCTTCTTCCAAAGAAAATGTATTGCCATATATACTTCTCAAAGTTCTGCCCACTATAGGACTTCCCTTCACTGGTATCTTTAAGGGTTGACCCATAAAGGAATTGTAATGCTACTCCTGTCTACTTCTGGGTAGTGCCTGCATAATGTGCAGAACAATTAGTAAAACAGGTCCAATCATAGGTCATAGGTGCATACCTGGCAGCAGGTGGCATTGTAACAAAAGGAGGAAAACATAGGCATTTGGGCAACTTCTTCATGTAACTTGCTTGTGCCTTCAGGACCTGCTTAACCTGATCATGTATATATCACTTCCATTTGATAATGGATTGCTGCTGTGAATGTCTTACTTTGTGACTTTGTGGGTCAGGTAATACCCAACTCATGATAGCTCAGATCACATGTAACTTAGTGGCCCATTGTCAAATGTTCAGTTTCCACAAAGGCCCAATAACAGGCCAAGAGCTCTCTCTCTCTCTCTCTCTCTCTCTCTCTCTCTCTCTCTCTATATATATATATATATATATATATGTATGTATGTATGTATGTGTGTGTGTGTGTTTGTGTGTATGTCTCTGTCTATCTCCCTTCCCCCCTCATATATATATATGAGAAAATTATTAGAATGACTTGCATGTTGTGGTTCAGTCAATCCAACAGTGGCAGCCTTTGAATGGAAAGTTCAAGAATCCAGTAGTTGTACAGCTCACAAGACTGAATGTCTCAGCTGGTCTTCGGTATATTGTTGGAGTCCCAAAGAAGTATGCAGGAATACCAATGAAGGAATGGACTTCACACAAGGGTAGAACAAGCAGGAAAATAAAAAGAACTTTCTTTTTCCATGTCATTTATACATACTGTCATAGGAAGGTGTGATTCTGATGAAAGATAAATCTTTCTACCTTAAAAGATCTGGAATAAAGGTTTATATTCCTATCTCAAAGATCCAGATTAGAGGTGGGTATTTTCACTTCAAATTATTAAGAAAAAATCCCTGATGGGTGCATGCAGACATTTGGTTGTGGTGTGGTGAAGTTGACAAACAAAAATGGCCATCACAGACATATATCCAAAAGATTTTATATCCTACTACAGAGATGCTTGTTTATTCATGTTCATTATTGTTCTATTAACAATAGCCAAGAAAACGAAGCAGTCTAGATATCTATAAAATGATGAATGGATAAGGAAAATTGTTACATTCACACAATGGAAGTCATTCAGAGGTTAAAAAATGAAATTACAAAATTTTCAGGTAAATTGATGGAGCTTGAAGCACTCATTCTGGCCAAGGTAACTCAGACCCAGGAAGACAAACGTCATATTTTCTCTCATTTCTGGATAAGTTTTGAATTTTCAGATATGTGTGTTTTATTGGTAAAATCCATAGAGATTAGGAAAGTGTTAAGGAATTAGAGGGAGGGCTAACAAAGTAGGGGAGATAGAACAGTGGTATAGAAGGGGCAAAGGAGAATAATAGAATAGGAAGGGTTAAATTAAGTAGGGAATGTGAGGAAAAAGTGAAGGAAGGAAGGAATAAAAGGTGGGATAACTAACCCTAAGGATCTTACGAAAAATCCAAATTGAAACCTAGTACTATAGATAATTCTCTCTCTGTCTCTCTGTCTCCTCCCCCGTCTCTCTCTCTCTCTCTCTCTCTCTCTCTCTCTCTCTCTCTCTCTCTCTCTCTCTCTCTCTCTCTCTGTGTGTGTGTGTGTGTGTGAGTTACATAGATGTGTTGACTGACAGTGGTCCTATGAGAAAACACTGACTAGGAAATAAAAAACTTAATGCCATGAATGGGTTTCCTCTTTTGGAGTTGTTGGCATGGAGAAATTAAGCTAGTACCAACCTGGAAGCTTCTTCCTTACTGGCTAGCTTCATAGTGCTGGAAGGAGCTATATACTCTCCTGAAGGAGAAAGTAATCATTAATTCTATCTCCACATGAGGCCTTTCCCCATCCTGTATCCTGTGCCCAGAGGTCTCATTCTGTCTCTTTACCTGTGTCCATATTTTCCTCAATCCCAGATCTCTAGAGTGTTCTTTCCCTGCCCCCCTTTCATGGGTATGTGCATCTTCTGCACGTGTACATGCATGCTTTTGTACATTTATGGGTACACATGCATGAGTGGGAGTGCATGCATGTATTTGTGTGAGTCTATGCATGCACACATTGAGGGGCAGGGGTTGTATATGACTGTGGAGGGCTGAGTTTGATGTCAGGAACTGTCCTCCACTGTTCTTCCACCTTATCCACTGAGGCAGGATCCCACAGTCCAAACCCCAGAGCTTGCTGATGTCTGGTGTCTCTAGTCAACTTGCTCTAGGGATCTCCTGTCTCTGCCTTCCAGGGCTGGACTACCATATCCACTGAGCATTTACATGAGTTTCTGGGATCTGAACGCTGGTCCTCGTATTTGTACGGCAAGGTTTTTAATGGCAAGTTCTTTAACTTGTGCTCTAATCTCCCGAGCTCTACCAGAAACATTCTATGCAAACCTTTATGTACCCTAAATCTCCCAGTCCTGACAGCTACTGTGTGCTCTGTGACACTTATCATAGTCATGTCCTTATTGCTATTGCTACATGGTAAATAATATCTGCCTCTTCACTAGACTAAACTTTGTAAGCAGTGCTTTGGGTTGAGTTTATTTGTTGAAATCCTAGTCCCTAGAACCTTACAAAGTGACTACTGTGTTTGGAAACAGAGTCTTGGTTGTTTCCTTGCTTCCTTACTCCTTGCTTTGTGTTATTTGGGATCGTATTCAGAGCCTTATACATGACAGGCAAATACTCAACCACTGACTATATCTCCAACCTCTTCTTTTTACTCATCTACTTTGAAACATTAAATCACCTAGTCTGGCCTTGAATTTACTCTGTAGCCCAGGCAGCCTCTGGAGCTTACAACCTCCACCCCTTACTCAGAGTCAATCTTTAAAGTCCAAGGACTGGCAAGTTTAGGTAGTGAAAGATAGAAGAGTAGTGAAGATGTATTTGAATGAAGGACCATGCTCCTGCCACAAAAAGGAGCAGGACTCGGCAGCTTTGACCATGAGCTTCTGGATTTAGAGTTAAGGATAAAAGAAAGGAATTATGGAATACATCCGCCAAGGCCAGGTGTGTGTCAGGGGTGTCTCTGAATGGAAGTCTAGTAGAGAGGCCATTGTGTGAAGCCTGAAGGTGAAGCCTGGATTGCCTTAGAGAACCAAAGATGTTAGAGATACCAGAGTTGTGGATACCTGCTGAGGAGAGTGGAAAAAGTTCAAGAGAAAGAAGTGTGCTGTGGTCAACAAAGCTGAATGGGATTGGATGTTTTGACATCAGACATGGAGATGCTGTGTTTGGAGTTTTCCCAGCTAGTTTTCGGTCTTGCTTTGGTCCAGCATTCCCTCAGTATGTTCCCTTCCTTGGATTTTAAAATGGTAATATACATCCTGTACTGTTATATGTGGGAAATATATGATCTGCTTATTTTGAGTTTTACAGGGGATTGCAATTAAGAGATCGTCATGAGTCTCAGAAGAGATTTAGGAGTTCAAATTTTGAAACACACTTGGGACTGTTATAGACTATGGGAACTTTTGAAGTTGAACTGAATACATTTTTGTGTTATGACACGTCTATAAGCCTTTTGGGACCAAGGAGTGGAATGTGGTGGTTTGAGAGAAAATGGTCCACAAGGAAGTGGCACTGTTAGGAGGGGTGGTCTTGTTGGAGGAAGTGTGTCACTGTGGGGGTGAGGTTGAGGTATTTTTCTCAAGCTTCACTCAGTGTGATGGTCAGTCGACTTTCTGCTGCCTTATGGTCATGATGTAGCCAACACCATGTCTGCCTGCACACTCCTGTGCTCCAAGTCATGATGATAAGGAACTGAACCTCTGAAACTGTAAGCCACCACCTCAATTAAATGTTTTCTTTATAAGAGATGCTGTGGTCATGGTGTCTTTTCACAGTAATAAAAACACAAACTAAGACAACAGTCAATATTACTGTCTTCCACTCTTGTTTTCAACCTTACCTTTTTGAGATGGGGCCTCTCATTGAATGTATAGCTCACTGGTTGGCTAGACTGGCTGGCTAACAAGCTTTGAGGATCCTCTTGTGGTCCTGTTACCCTAAGGTAAGGTTACAGATGTGCGTAGCAACAGCTGACTCTTACATGGCTATCAGGGATCTGAAAATCAGGTGTTCATGCTTACACAGCAGGTGTTTTATGGTCAGTGCCATCTCCCAGTCCCACAAGAGAAGATTGCCTCTCTAAAAGAACTTGTTCATTGGAATAGTTGTTTCTGTTTCTTAAGATAACTTTGTACTCACTCATAAGTGGATGTTAGACATAAAGCAAAGGATCCACAACCGAAGAGAAGCTAGATAAAAAGGAGGACCCTAAGAGGGACACACATCAAGGACATAAGGAAGGGGAAATAGTTAAGATCTCCTGGTAAACTGGGAGGGGAGTAGAAGGGATAGGGTGTGGGGCTGGAACATGAAGGATTGAGATGGCTGACTTTGGGGAAGGAACAGAGCAGGGGAGAACAATGAAAGAGATATCTTGATAGAGGGAGCCATTATGGGGTTAGGGAGAAACTTGGTGCTAGAGAAATTCCCAGGAATCCACAAGGATGACCCCAGATAAGACACCTAGCAACAGCAAAGAGGGTGCCTGAACAGGCCTTCCCCTGTTACCAGATTAGTGACTACCCTAATTGTCATCATAGAACCTACATCCAGTACCTGATGGAAGCAGATGCAGTGACCCACAGCCGAACACTGGACTGAGATCCTGAAGTTCAGCTGAAGAGAGGGAGGAGGAATCATATGATCAAGGGTGAGTCAAGATCATGATTGGGAAAACTACAGAGACAGCTGACCCAAGCTAGTGGGAACTCACAGACTATGGACTGACAGTAGAATAACCTGCATAGGACTGATCTAAGCCCTCTGAATGTGGGTGACAGTTAAATGGCTTAATCTGTTGGGAGAGCCCCCAGAAGTGGGAGCAGGACTCATCCCAGGTTCATGAACTGGCTTTTTGGATCCCATCCCCTATGGTGGGATACTTTGCTCATTCTTGATACAGCGGGGAGAGGTTTGGTCCTGCCTCAACTTGGTTTGCCAGACTTTGTTGATTCCCCAAGGGAGGTCTTACATCCTCTGAGGAGTGGATGGGGGTGGAGTCAGGGGGAAGTGGCAGGGCAGGAGAGGGGAGAGAGGGGGACCTGGGGTTGGTATATAAAATGAAAACTTTTTTAAATAAAAAAAAGAAAAGAAAACTTGTCTAGGGGAAGGGAGGGGTTAGGCTTCCCCATGGCAGTTTTCCCTGTAAACTATAACATGTTTTTCCCCAGAACACAAGATATGCTTAAGTAATAGAATAGTTACATTAATCAGCCAAGCTCGTGTTAATTATTATCAAGCTCATTGATTTAATTATTTCTCTATTGTTTTGGAATTTGTATATGTGTGTGTTTTCAGTTATAAATAATGTTTCATGAAATATCTTTGTATATCAAATATTTTCTGCATTTTGAATCATTTCTTTTATAGTGAGTCACAAAGGTATGATTTCTAAATGGAAGAGTATTGCCAATATTATGGTCCAGATACTGTTACCAAATGGCTTCAACCAATGGGTCAAGTTTTACCTTCTCACTGGCATAATGAGATCATGGATACCCTAAGGCTGTGGTAATCTGTCTGTCCCAGGAACAGCAGAGTGGACTGATGCTGAGGATGTCTCAGTCAGGGATGTTAAACCATGGAACATTTGCTGAATGTGGCAGTAGCTGTGAGCTCTGAACCAGGAATGCTCTCCCATTTGCCAATATCATCCCACAGTGCTCATTTGATGCCTATACTTTGAAGGGATCGTGCTCCAACGAGGTGCTGGCTAGCACCCCTCCTTCTCCTTTCAGGACCTTCAGAGCATCATGTCATCTTTTGCTGGTTGCACCTCATCTTCCCCACTCTTGGTTTCTCAATTTACTCCTTAAGATCTTTCCAGAAACTGTCTTTGGCAGTTCCGAAATGAAAGCCACCTAGTAACCAAACAAACAGATACAGTTATGCTTAGAAACCATCATTTCCTAGAATGACCCTTTTCTTAAGTCATTCCTTTTGCTACTTCAAAGGAAAGCTCCCATAATTCAGGGTTTTCCCCATCAGATAGTTAAAATTTCTGGAGCCTAGAGTGCCTTTACCTCTCACCAGATCCATTGCTTCTCATCTGCAGATCAATTTTTTCTTTTATTTTAGAAACAATCTTTATTTACATATCAGTTCCCCATTCCCTTGCCCTCCCATCCTCCCATGCTCCCCACTGACCCCCCCAACCCATACCTCCCACCCACTCCCCAAGGATAGTGAGGCATTCCACAGGAGATCATCAAAGTCTGTCACATTATTTGGGGGAGGGCCTAGGCCCTCTTTCATGTATCTGGGCTGCAATAGTATTCTTCCATAGGGAATGGGCTCCCAAAGTCCATTTGTGCACTAGGGATAAACACTGGCTGCACTGTTAGAGATCCCATAGACTGCCCAGGCCTCCTAACTGGCACCCACATTCAGAGGGCTTGGTTTGGTTCAATGCTGGTTTCCTAGCTTTATGACTAGGGTCTCTGTGCTCTCACTAGGTCAGATCAACTGTTTCTGTGGGTTTTTTCAGCAAGACCATGCTCCCTCTCTACAACTGGATTCCAGGAGTATGGCTCTGTGTTTAGCTGTGGGTGCCTGATTCTGCCTGCTGAAACTGAGAAGCTTATGTAAGGTAAAGTACATAGTCAACAAGACAAAATGGCAGCCCACAGAAAGTGAAAAGATCTTCACTAACCCCACATCTGACAGAGGGCTGATTTCCAAAATATACAATAAACTCAAGAAGCTAACCCCCAAAACACCAAACAATCCTTCAGCTCTATTATAGAGCTATAATCCTGAAAACAGCTTGGTATTAGCACAAAAATAGACAGGTAGACCAATGGAATCAAACTGAAAACCCTGATGTGGACCCACACATCTGATTTTTGACAAAGAAGCTAAAATTATACAATGAAAAAAAGATAGCATCTTCAACAAATGGAGGTGGCATAACTGGATGCTGGCATATAGAAGACCACAGATAGGTCCATATCTATTAACATGCACAAAACTTAAGTAGCAGAGACACTGAGATTGATAATTAATAAATGGGATCTCCTGAAACTGAGAAGCTTCTGTAAGGCAAAAGTCATAATCAACAAGACAAAATGTCCTCCCACAGAATGGGAAAAGATCTTCACCAACCCCACATCTAACAGAGGGCTGAATTCCAAAATATACAAAGAGCTCAAAAAGCTAGTCACCAAAACACCAAAGGATCCAATTTAAAAGTAGGGTACAGAACTAAACAGAGAATTCTCAATAGGAATCTAAAATGGCTGAGAGACACTAAAGAAAGTACTCAACATCCTTAGCCATCAGGGAAATGCAAATCAAAACAACTCTGAGGTACCATCTTACTCCTGTCAGAATGGCTAAAATCAAAAACACCAATGACAGTTTATGCTGGAGAGGATGTGAGGAAAGGGGAACATTCTTCCACTGCTGGTGGGAGTGCAAACTTGTACAGTCAATTTTGACATCAGTTTGGCAGTTCCTCAGGAAAATGAGAATCGGTCTACTTCAAGATGCAGCAATTCCACTCTTAGGCATATACCCAAAAGATGCGCATTCACACAACAAGGATGTCTATTCCACTATGTTCATAGCAGCATTATTTGTAATAGAAAGAACCTGGAAGCAACCTATATGCCCCTCAATTGAAGAATGGATGGAGAAAATATGGTACATTTACACCATGGAGTATTACTCAGTAGACAAAACAAAAAACAAAACACTGAAATCTTGATATTCACAGACAAATGGATGGAACTAGAAGAAACTGTTCTGAGTGAGGAACCCAGTCACAGAAAGATAAGCATGGTATGTACTCAGTCATATGTGGATAGTAGACATAGAGCAAAGGACTACCAGCCTACAATTCACACCACCAGAGAAACTAGGAAACAAGGAGGACCCTAAGGGAAAAAAAAACACATGGTCCCCTGAAGAAGGGGAAAGGGACAAGAACCCCTGAGCAAATTGGTGGGATGGGGAGGAAGGAGGGAGGTAGGAAAAAGAGAAGAGGATAATAGGAGGGGGGAGGAGAACAAGAGGGGTGAGGAAGACTGAGACGGGGAGGAATAGAGAAGAGTAAGAAAGGAAATACCTTGATAGAGGGAGCCAGTATCGGTTTAGAGAGATATCTGGCATAGGGAAATGTTCATGGATCCACAGAGATGGCACCAAGAATCTAGGCAGTAGTGGAGAGACCACCTTTGATACCCTTCCCTATAATAATGAGATTGATGACTCCCTCGGTTGCAGATCAATTCGTAATGTAAGAACATACAGTACTTTGGGAAAGATCCAGTGAAAAAAGACAAACAAGGCTGAAGCAGCAACTGGGTGTTCATATCTACAGTGCTGAGCCTTGCCCTACATAGGTGACCAGTCCTGGGAACAGGCACCATCTGGTTCCTCAGCTTATGTCTTAGAGCCACAGGTGTTTACCTTCCTGGGATACTTGTATGGAGCAGTCACCGTCTTCACATGCTCCTGGAGTTCCTGGGTCAGTGCTTCTGGGTCATGAGATGCATACGCTGGAGAAAGGACTATAAATGCCTTCACCACCTGAAGGGAGAGAACCCCAGAAGGGATCAAGCCTCCAGGAATGATGCTTTTCTCCTCCAGCTAGCCTTATCACAAGGGTTTTGCTAGTTCCTGCTAGTTTTGCTAGTTCCTACTGGTTCCTTGAGCACAGTCAGTGAAGTGAACACCATCTATTTCCCTATTGTCTGCCTGTTCAGAATAAACAGTGGAATCATTTGGAGCCTCATTTCCCAGGCCACTCCCCATACTTTTAATGGCTCCATCAAGAGTGAGGATAAATTCCCTTAAGGTGCAGACCTACTGGGGGGAAGCAGCTTCACAATACCAATAGTCATTTGCTCCCCGATTTTCATGTGGGAGGACAGAGGAGCACCAGATTGTCCAGGCAGGGTTAAAGAAAACAGCCCTGCTTGGGGGCCACTGTGTCTTTGGAGAGTGCCCGCAGGTACATTTCCCATCAGCAAACATGGAACTACACTGTTTCTGTTTCAGTCATTCAAGGGCATGTTCTTCTCCTTGGCTTTGTGTGCTCAGGTTTCTCCTGCAATTTGCCTCTTGTTAAAGAGGGAACAATCAGAGGGTAAGTTCATTTGATACTGAGCCTAAGAACCTGAGCTCATTCCGTGGAGCCCACATGGTTTGTCCTCTGACCTCCGCACGTGTACTGTGGCCCACGAGCATATTTATAAACACACACACACACACACACACACACACAAATAAATTTTTAAATGAGTTCAAATCATGTCTTCTAATAATGTCAGAAACTACGCCCACAAAGTCTCACCAATGTGACTACGCTGCATAGCATGAGCTGCATAAAAATGACCCCAATAGAAATTTCAATGTGGACAGGTGTCAACTCTACATGAAGAAGCACAGGCAACCAGGAAACACTGAGAATGGGAGCAATAAAGACTATTGGTATTGTCCAACCCCAAATGGTCAACCCTGAAAACATATATACAAGTAACATTATACCGTTTGAACAGATTATATTTAGGAATATATATGTAGATACATATATACCTGTAATAACAATTAATGAAGAAGAGGTCACAAATTTGAAAGAGTCAAGAAGTGTTTGGAGGGAGGAAAGGGTAAAATGCTGTAATTATATTATAATCTCAAAAGTAAAATAAAATAGTTTCTTATATCAATGGAAGAGTTTTAAAGGCCACTTAGTTGCAGGTCTACAAAACCATTAAACTCTATTAACTCACTTTTATTAAGGGGTGGTATATCAAAGACACTTAGAAACACTCTGTTATCCCTAAATTGGCCATGCAGCCATCATTAGTCATGTTTGGGGAGCTTGCTAGGTTCTCATATGAAACAGAAAAGGACATTTTTCTGGAGAGAGTGTCTTCCCTTCCACTGAGATTTCCTGCCCAATCATCAGCTTCATTTGGATTGTCTGATGTCCAATAAAAAACTACACTTTGTATTTTCCCATCTTGTCTTTGTAGAGTGTCTGTGATTTAAAGGTGGTTTAATCAAAAGGAATGAATGACTGAATGTGGAGCTTAGCTTTGTGGTATCAGAGGTGGGGCTGAGATCAAAGGAGGAATCAGGCATTCCTGCTTGTTCCTTTGGGTGCAAATAAGCAGAAAACAATGAGGTTATGCTCTTGTCTGACTGCTTACCTCTCCACGAATGGGGTCTGGGCTGCTGACCACGGCGCACTCGAGGACAGCTGGATGCTCAGCAAGAGCACTTTCCACCTCAACAGGTCCAATCCGGTAGCTGGAAGAGAAAAGAAATCTTTCGAATGTCATTCCTCTCCCTATGGAACTTCAAGGAGAGGAAAGAGCAAACTGCTTGACCTTGAAGAGTTGATCACATCGTCATTTCTCCCTAAGAACCAAAAGTAGCCATCCTTGTCCTTGCGGGCTCGGTCTCCAGTGATGTAAAAGTCTCCTTTCTCTGATGAGGCTGTCTTTTCAGGATTTTCCTAGAAGACAAGGGAAGACTATGAAGGATCATTTGGGTACAACCACTTAGGTCAGCCCCTGCCTGGGGATCCCATGCTGAGGGGAGGGCAACAATCCTTCAACAGGTAGTCTCTTGGTTCTCAAGGCTCAAGCTGTCCAGAATTTCCTATAGGGAAGAAGGTTAGATTCCTGCAGATTTGTGACTTCTCTTTTAATTGGATGAGAGCCTCCAGGTGGGATCTGGAGCAAATGCCCACAGCATCCTTTGAATAGTCAAACTCAAGGATGATATACACAGGGCAATTGGCTCTGCATAACTGAATACACTGCAAGTATAAGATAGGAAGTAAAAGATTGGCTTTAAACCCCATTGCTAGGAGGAGAGTCTAGAGTAAAGAAAAACGTATAGCCATGGTCTAAAACCTGTGTGTGTGTGTGTGTGTGTGTGTGTGTGTGTGTGCGTTACACTGTGTGAATGTGGACACAATAGTGCCTTGACAAATGTGTTGAAGTCAGAGGACAGCTTCGGGTATCAGTCCTTTCCTTCCACTTTATTTAAGATGGGTCTTTTATTGTTTCTTTGCACTGCATGCACCAGGCTAGCTGGCCTGTGAGCTCCCAGAGATTCTCCTGTCTCCATCTCCTCTTAGGAGCTGGGATTTCAGACACTCATGTTATCCTGTCTATTATGAGCACTGGTTCCCACAGCTGTGTCAGCCCCAAATGAACACTCAGAGACTTATATTAATTATAATACTGTTGGACAATGACTAGGGCTTCTTATTGGCTAGCCCTGTCTTAATTATTAACCCATTTCTATTCATCTAAATATCTAAGTATTTCCACATGGTCTTATTTACCAGAGAAAGTTCTGGACCTCTTACCCCTTTGTGGTCTCACATGACATCTGCTAAGCATCTCCACAGAGAAAAGAGCAATTTCCTGTTTGTCCCTATTTATATCCTGATGCTGCCCAGATACATCACTTCCTGTCTGTCTGTACAGACCTCCAGACCTCTATGATTAGCTAGTGGCAAGTTTCTGCCTAGCTACATCACTTCCTATCTTGCCAATCAGCTAATCAGTGTTCTGTTCATTAACCAATAAGAGAAACACATAGAGAGTACATTCCCCATCACCTGTCCAGCTTGTGGCAGATTTTTGCATGCCAAATTCTTTGTTCACAAAGCTAATTATCTAGCACAATTCCAAAATAATTTTTAAAAATTACTATTTGTTAGTAGAAAGAAAAAATTATTAATTACTAATGCATGCAAAAATATGGATGATTGGTAAATAAATTATCCTGTTCTTAAGATACACAAAATGGATCTTTTATGTCTCCAAGTGTAGTTTTTGGAAGAAAACAAAATAACTATATAGTTGTTGTGCACAGTATACAGTAAATATATAGTATATGTCATGCTATATAGTAACAATTTACCAGTTGCTTGAGGTCTGGAGTAAAGAAAGTTGAATAGGAAGGAGATCATAGAACACTTAGAGGTGATGACAGTGTTCACATCTTAACTGCATTGGTGGCCACATATGTATACATAGTGACCAGAAGTCATTGGCCTGTATACTTACCATGGATGCATTTTTTTCACAATTAAATTTTATCTTCATTCAAACACATTTTGAAGAAAAGCTAAGTTATAATGAATATTTAAGAATATATCTTAATAGAAGTCTATAATGTAGAGCCATAGAACTCTTAACAGTCTCTAGAGCATTAGAGGAGAGATAAACAAATGGAGAGACAGAAAGAATGAGTTAAAGCTGGTGAAATAGATTGGTGGGCAGATGTGTGAGTTCAGTCCACAAGCCCACATGGCAAAAGGAGAGAACTAACTTACCCAAGCTGTCCTTCGACCTCTACACATATGCCCTGGCATGCATGCACCCAAGCATGCACACCACACACACACATTTAAATTAATTAGTGTAAAATAGTTAGAAAGAATGGGTGGAATGTCAGCTCTCTCTGGGTTGATTTACAGACAATGCAAAATCCAATTAAATTGCTAACAATTATTTTTTTATGGATCTTGACAAGTTGATTCTAAAATGCATACTCAGTCAGCTTAATGTGTGAATGGCATAGTATCTCTCCGACAAGTGATTCTCAATCCTTGGATGCACTTTTGAATTATCCAGGGACCTGACCCTCATCATTCAAAAATTTATTTGAATTGGTTTAAGTGGTATGTAGGCATTCTAATAACTGAAGCTTCCTGGATGTTTCTGATGCACATCCAGGTTTAAGAGTTTTACAGAAAAGAGTCAGAAGGGACTCTGGTCAAGGCATGTCTAGAGGACAGATAATTACTGTTTTGTCTTGGAATTTTGGACTGAAATCCCAGGATACAAATCTAGACAGCAAACCAGAAAAAACACCCTGAAAACTTGGCTCTGATACAAACTTGTAGTTGGTTCTTTGGTAGGAAACTTTACTTCCCTGAACCTAATTTTCCCTATCCTTTACCATCAGGATGAAGTTGTCATGGGTTTGTGCTCTCAACACACTCTTCTTAAAGCTTATGACTTACCCTGAATATTAGTTATGTGACACTGGAGGAGCCATTTTACTTTTGTAGCTTCCTTATTAACCACAGTGTTCCTGATCAATAACAATAGCAACCAACTTAATACAGTTGCTGCAAGGGTTAAACTATAGATATTTACAAAATGTGCTCTCAAGGCTTGGCATGAAATAATTGCTGTACTTTCTCAGGGCTGTTCCCCTACCACTTACCAGATAGCAGTTGAAGAAACAGAAGGGTCTGGTGGGTTTGATGCGGACAGCAATATTCCCCTCTTTTCCTGGAGGCAGGACATTGCCCTCCTCATCTACAATCTGATAGAGAGATCATCACATGGCACCAGAGCATCTTTTACACAGCCAGGGTACCCACCAGCCTGTACTCACCAGCACGTGGATGGTTCCATGCACAGTGGGCAGAGGCTGCCTACCTGAACATCGTAAGGTGGGCTTGCTTTCCCCATAGATCCAGACTTGATTGGGGAGTCTCTTGAATTGCCACAGATGACGACCTGGAGAGAAAACAGTGTCCCCGAGGGGGAAACTCATCCTCTTGCTTCTTGTTCCATGCTTGCTCTCACTGCCAGCTCATTCTTCTTCTTTCTTCTGCCATCTTTCTTTCCCTCCCACTCGTCCTTCCTTTTTCTTTATCTCCTTTCCATAGTCAACAAAACTTTATGTGGTACTCTAATTATTGTTCATGGATGGAGAACTAAATTGTATCATGAAGCTCAGGCACTCACTCACCCTCACATCTTGCCAAGATGGCTGCAGGGGTCACTGCTTAAGATATTACTGAAAGTACACTGTAGGCTATTCTGGGATGACAAACAATTTCCTTGAACAATTATGGGTATTCATCGTCATTGTCAATTGGATTGAATTTAGGATCACCTAGAGAGAAGTGTGTCTGAGAAGGGAAGACCATTCTGAACATGGGTATCATGATAGAACCTCTTTCATCATGAACTCCCACTACCATAATGTTCTCCAAGTTCAAGGAACCAAGTGACCATGGCTGGACCCTTTAAAGTTATGAGCCAAAGTCAGGCTCTCTTCTTTGTTTCTTTCAGATAATTTGTCACAGCTACGTGAAAGTAATTATGGTATCAGGAAAGTTGCTTTACTGGCCATGGTATCTGTGAAATTAATTACCTGAAACTGCCTTTAAACCAAAGGAAGAATGGCTATTGGCGTTTCATTGCCAGTTTCCCCTAGAACCAAGGCAGTTTCTGGCAGGTGTCTGGGAGAGGTGAGTAACTCCATGATACTCTATGAGGGCTTAGATGAGGTGGCTTGGCACACCAACTCACTGTTTCAGATTGTCCGTAACCTTCATGGAGCTCCAGGCCTGTCTGGCTCTTCCACTTGTCCCTCACATCAGGGTTGAGGGCCTCTCCACCCGTCAAACAGTGCCTCAGGCTTTGAAACTTGTACCTTTCTCAAGTAGGAAGACAAGACCATCAGTGTCATAAAAATTTCTACTTACTCACTAGCACTGCTAGAGGTTCACAGCCCCGAAGACACTAGAGGATAAACTCCCTTCTGTTCCAACCTCTCTCTATAGCTCCAGAAGTAAATAATTAAAACTAGTAATTATTAAGTAAATAATTAAAACTAGTCAATCCTATCTGAATTTGGGATAAAATCAGGTTCATATGGTAGGTTTAAGCATAACAATGTATTGTTCAAATTAATTTACCTATAAATAAACTGGTTGGTAACAAATAAACTGAGGCAATTATCTAACTCAAAGTAATAAATCAATAAAAAAATCTAGTAGACTAAAAATAGCCTTCTAGGAATTCCCCAATTCTGAAGACTGGATCTAAAAGTTCAAGAGATATTAAATAAATAGCAAATATGCCTCTCAGTTAAAAAATTATCCTAAGTATAAATACAAGTTCAATCATGTTCTCCTCCTGGTTGGAATATACTGTGTCAATTAAATTACTTAGCATTGCCAGGCAGCCTCTAATTGGTCTTGAAGAATTACCCAAGAACTGCTTCTAGCCAGAATTACAACGTGGAGATAATGAATGGGAAGGATTCCTATATCTAGAGGAATAAAATAAAAATTATGTAAGTGCTCCCTTCTTTTGGGTATTTCATGGCCAGGGAGTGTGATTATAGAAGACGAGAGCATGGGAGGAGCATGCCTTGGGAAAGGATAAAAAAGGGAGGCATGGGTGGGGATAAGTAAGTTACTGATCAATGAGGGTGTTCACCTGATACTCCAGCAAATAGCCTTGCCCAACTAATGAATAAAAGCCATCCATGGAGTATTGTCACCTTCTTTTGTGTGTCTGAAGACAGATACCCAGGAATGGCTGACTTGGGTTAATTAGGGAGTGGGAAATGTAGAGTATATTGTGACAGGGTTTGTCAGTCTAAGCAAATGAAAGATCCTTGGCTACTAACCCCATTCTGTATATGGTGGGAATTCAACAATTTCTGTGACAGAATTCACAGACACAAGGTTAAAGTACTAGCCTGTGGGCATTGTATACGGTGGAGATGAAGTTTACCTCAACTGTTGAAATTTTGGATTGACTTAAATCATTTCCATTTTCTCTGGGTATGAATTCCAAGGAGCCATAGAATCATCTTTAAAGGACTGTTTTGTGTGAAAGACAGCACATAGTGACAAAGAGAGACACATGAAGACAGATCTGACTTAAGAGAAGCTGGAGGAACACAGGGAATAAGAGTTGGATTGTAAAGGTGGATTTACTCATAGATCCTCAAACAAGAACCCCAGAAGTGCTGAGCAGAGTCTGTACCTTGTCAGATCCTCCTGTACAAGCAGGCGAAAGAGGGTTGGAACACAGCACATGACAGTTATTGGGAACCTGCAGAGAGTCTAAACAAAACAAGGGGTTTAGACAGTTTTCTTAGAGATACTCAAGTGTGATGGGATGAATGAATTAAATATTTATAATCTCGCTGCCATAGCAGAGAAGTAGAAAAGTAAGCATGGCATTTGTCAAGATGACCTCCATGATCTCTACCTGCCGGCATTTGTATCCTTATGGAGTGTCTGGTGGAAGTCACTTGGGATTATATGATAGGAAGAGGAAACTTCTGTCTTGGATGCTTTTATCTCTCTTGAGTGACTCACTCTGGAGGAGACAAGTTACCAGGCTTTGAGTATTCTAGCTGCTCTTGGGATGAAGGCACACAGTGAGGTGGGTATTCAGTGCACAACTGATAAAAACTACAATCCAGAAGTGAAACAGATTGCCATGCTTAACTGTACACCGAGATGACTATTTTCCTAGATGGTAGTTCTGTTTAAAATTAGTATTGAAGATCATGGGAAAAAGTTCAGTCAGTAAAGTGCTTATAGTGCACCATGAGAGCCTGAGTTTGCTCCCCAGAACCCAAGCAATGAGAAAGAGTCAAGTGTGGTAGTGTATGAGCATAGACTCAGAACTAGGGTGGCAGAGACATGTAGATCTCCAAGACTCACTGGCCATTGGTCTAGTCCAATAAGAAAGCTCCAGCCCAAAGAGATCTTGCCTCAAAAAATAAGGTGGGTGCCACCTGAGGAGTGTCATTTGAAGATGACCACTGGCCTTCACACATAAATGTACAGTTACTGTACACACATTCCTACACACATTCATTTATCTGTGTTCATGTGAACACACAGAAGCATAAATAATCCTTGGATATATATTTCAGACATTTATCTACTTTGCTCATTTTTAAGGTATTTTTACATTTTGGCACCATCTAGATCCAGAGTTATTTCATCTTTTCAAACTGGGTCTGTGTACCCATTATGTAATACATTCACATTATCTTCTCCCCAGACTCATAGTAGCTGCCATTCTATTCTGTCTTCATGAACATGGCTATTCTAGGTACCTTATGTAAATGAAGTCATGAAGTATATGTCCTTTGAGGACTGCCTTCTTTCACTTAGAATGTGGTCCTCCAAAATCACTCATATTGCAGAGTAGCAGAATTTGCTTTCTTTTAAAGGCTGACTAACGTGTATGTGTGTGTGTGTGTGCACACGTGCGCACACTCATACGTGTTGTATTTGGGTTATGCATTGTTTCTGATGGATGCTTGGGTTGCTCCTGCCTTTCTGTTACTGTGACTAGTAATAATAAAAAAACAGGCTTTATTTGTAAAACTAAGGTATCACCACATATCCCCCTTTTTCCTAAAATTAAAAAGTGTTATAACAAATATAATAAAAACTATATACAATAAGTACAATAACTATATACAATATATACATGGCAATAAGTACGTTAACAATGTCTAGTCCATTAGCATATGACAAATTCTGAGAAAATACTCAATTATTTATTCTTTCTTGATGAGTCCAAAGTCTTTACCTAATTTACTTTCTATTCTAATTTGCATTATCATATTATCTCCTAAAGTCTTAGATGGGGCTACCAGATAAGGAGAATGCTGGGAAGAGAAAGGCAGAGAGAGAAGCCAGCAGAGAGATGCCATGTAGCTACCAGGAAGATAGGACTCCGTGCATTCTCTGGTAAGATAAGGTCATGTAGAAATACATAGATTAGTAGTTATTGGTTAATAATTAAGAGAGAGCTAGCCAGTATTAAGCCTAAGCCATTGGCCAAAAAGTTTATGATTAATATAAGCCTCTGTATATTTATTTGGGACTAAGCATGATGGGACCAGGTGGAACAGAAGCTCAATCCACAGGTCCAAGTTTAACGAATGGTGAAACCCATATTTCTAGTCATGTGTAACCCAGCTTGTCCCAAACAGATAGGCCTGGGGAGATAGGCTCATGGCGTCTCAAGAACTGCCAGTTAGAGTCAACGATAGAATAAAGGTACTCAGTGTCTTCACTGGGGTGGTCAATACCACTCCCTCTTGATAAGACTCCAGAGAAACAAGACAGGAGGGGCCAGATCTATGGTTGGATGGAAGCTCATGATAAGGTCCGGGGACAGAAGCACATGCTCTGGTGAATAGACTTTTAATTTTTCCTAAAGTTTTGACATAGATTGTGCTTTGACAGAGCATAGGGAAGAAGATTGTGGAAAGAGAGGCATGACATGTATTAAAAGGCTTTGTTAAGGTTTGAAGACATAAAACTCTTCTGTGCCTAGGGATCTATGTTGAGCATGGGCAATGAATGAAGGCTGTTAGGTGGACAGGAATAAGATTATGTAAGGCTCTCAGTGAATTTGTCATCAAATTCACACATTGTCCCATGCCATCTTAAAACATATATTTCATTCATCTGATTCATACCCAGAACACAAAAGGTGTTCAAGATCTTGGCATGGTGGTATACAATTATAACATCAACCCTTGGGACTCAAATACAGAAGACGGCTGGTTCAAGGTTGTTTTGTGTTATATAATATGACTGTTTCAAAATGAGTGCATAGTGATAGAGCATTTGCTCAATGTGTGCAGAGCTTTGGATCCCAGCACTGGGAGTTTTTTCTTACATTTAGGATAGTTTTGGCATCAACTCGGGGCAGTTCATGCACGAAAATGCACGCTCCATTGGGCCAGGCAGAGAAGAGAGTCCAGGCTGCCTTCACCCAACCAGTGTCAGTTGTGTTCCAGAATATGTCAGATTCAGTCAAGGCCATCCACCTCCTGCCAAAAAATGACAGAAAGTCAGAGAATCCTCACCAATGTATCTATCTTCAGAATGGATTATATTATTCACATATCATTTGGAACTCAGACCACAGGAGGTACCATTTAAACTTGTCAAATATACACAAGATCCATCAGCTTAATTACTGTCTCAACAAATACTCAACACTTTCTCTGTGTTTGTTCCTGGGCCTAGAAGAAAAAAATGAAAAGAACAGATCCCATACTTTCAAGAGCAATTTGCAAGGGAAAATTAATCTCAGTACATTATGATAAGAGCAGGTTTTTCCATTCCACACTCATTAAATTCATCTGGAGTTAGCACTAGTGATGCAGAAGTAAATAGTTGTATTTTGAAAGACTTATAGGTTAGTAAACATAAGTATCCAAAATGACCTGGGAGAGCACATTTTTTAACTTTCATTGGAGGGGGCAGGGAGGTGTTTTTTACCACATGCCTCCTGATCCTATCCACCTCCCTGCCCCCTCCAAATTTTTAAGAGATATAAATGGGTTGAAAGAAAGAGAAAATCTCATCATGGAAGCTGCAGTGTGAAATTAGTGAGTCTCCTTTAGTCATACATTTTTATATTTTACATGCAGGTATTCATTGCAGAGAGTCACTGATTTGGTTTGAGGCCTCTGATCTCTGCTATACTATCGATGCCTCTTGCTCATTACTGCAAGGAGTGAACCAGCCAGAGCAATGCTGGAAAACTCACCCTGGTGGTAAAGACAGGGGAGATCTGGCAGGATAACCAACCCTGAAACTACCCAGACCTAGAACCAGGGTTACTTGTTGGCCCACCCCAATATCTACCCCATATGTGATCTGATGGAGCTAGGGGAGGGTCAGTCCTGTGGACCCAGGGCTGCAGGATCTCCATGACACTGGGCAGCAATGGTATGTCCAGGAAGAGTCCCAGTGAGGGCCCAGTGTCAATGGGAGAGCACATTTTTAAGAGTTAAAATCAAAGTTTTGTAGGATGACAGAGAATAAACACTTAACTTGGAGCAAAGAGACTATTATCTCCACAACTGTTAATTAAGCATCCTTTAAGATTTATCTCATGTTCTCACGTGGTCCATAGTGAGAGTGGAGGTGGGTCTGAGAAATGCTTCTGAAGTGGACATGACATTTGAAGAAGCATCATTGATGTGTAGCAACCATGGTGATAAAGAGAGGAGGAATAACCTAGGAAAGGGATGCACATGTCTGCAAACACGGGATATAGACGGCTGCCATGCTTGCCTTTTGGTCTCAGGACATACTTTCTTCTGGTTTGCCCCATGGGTAGCTCCCCCTAAGTAAGCTCCTGTTCCTCCTTTCAGTGCAGAAATGTTTCTCTGTTCTCTTCAAATCTCACCCAGCCTCAATATATTAAATAACATCTGTATACTGGTAACCTGAGAGGAATCTTGTTACCACTACACATGTAGAGCTATGCTCGATCTCTACAGTTCTACTTCAATTAGGAAGATGAAGATGTTTAATGGACCCATTGAGTTTGCTGCAATACCAAGGAATAACACTTGGTTTTCTTTCCTCTGTCCAACTTATTTTGTTTCCTCCACATTATTCTTAGGAGAATAAACCACATAGTTCTCACCCCATATTGAACTGTCAGAAAATTTCATTAGGTCTGTGTTTAAGTTGTTTATAATCTCTTCACTTTCTCCTGTCACTTCTAAACCCCAAGACAAGTCATCACACTTTGTTTGAATATAGTGCACTCTTTTCTCTCTTTCTTTTTCCTTCCTTCCTTCCTTCCTTCTTTCCTTCCTTCTTTCCTTCTTTCTTTCTTTCTTTCTTTCTTTCTTTCTTTCTTTCTTTCTTTCTTTCTTTCTTTCTTTCTTCCTTCCTTCCTTCCTTCCTTCCTTTCTTCTCTCTGCTCTGTCTCTCTGTCTCTGTTCCTCTGTCTCTGTCTCTCTCTGTCTCTCACTGTCTCTGTCTCTGTCTCTCTCTCTCTTTCTCTCTCTCTCTCTCTCTTCAAGACAGGGTTTCTCTGTGTAGCTTTGTAGACCAGGCTGGCCTCGAACTCATAGAGATCCACCTGCCTCTGTCTCCCGAGTGCTGGAATTAAAGGTATGCACCACCACTGCCCAGCTGTGTCCTCTTTTCTAACTCTGCTTCATTCCTTCATTCTTATTTGTTATCAACCTGACATCCTGAGGGACACTTTAAAAACTAAATTGCATCATATCATAGCCCTGCTCAAAATACCCAATACTTCTTAAATAAACCAAAAATCTTAACATAGAATTGTCTTATGACTGAGCAATCCTACTTCAGAGAGATACCCAAAGAAGAAACAGTGGGGGCAGTAGGTACAATATACAGGTAACCCATGTTTATACCAACAGTTGAGTGGATTTAAAAATGTAACATGTACTTACAATGGAATACTTTTGAGTCGTAAAAAGTAGGGAAATTTCCCTGAAATTTAAATTTTTCTGTGCAGCCGAATAAAATTCCACTCTAAATATGTGCCACTTTTTTATTATCCATTCTTCTGTTGATAGATGTATAGTCTTGTCCTATTTCCCTGCTACCATGAATAAGGCAGCAATAAACATGGATGTGCAAGTATCCCTGTGGTAGGATGTGGCATTTTGGGGCATTTGCTCAGGTGAGGTATAACTAGGTCACCACACAGCAAGAAAGTGGGTGGATTTGAAAAATACATTAAGTGGCTCAATCTCAGAAAGACAGAACCCACATGATTCTCCAATATGTGTTTCCTAGCCTGCAATATATACATGTATATACACAAGTATATGTAAAACCTGCAAAACTAGAAATGATACCAAGAGGACCTATGAGCAAGTAATGAGGAAGAATAAATAGGAGGTGGCAAAAGGACACATGAGTCACAAAAGAGGAAAAGTGACAAGGTGTTCACAGAGGAAGCAGGGGTAGGAGAGCTGGGAGGGGAGGAGAACATACTAAACACACTATGTTTGAAAAGGCCACAGTGATACCTAGTACATTGTATCTAATTAAAAGTAAAAAAGTATATGTGAGGAGAATTTAACAGAAAACGAATGAACCCTGATGACACTGTCCTAGGTGAAAGGAGCCAAATTTCAAAATCATGTACTGCTCACATGAGATGTCTGAAATTACCAGATTCATAGAGACAGAAAGCAGAATAGAGGTTTCCAGGAAGACAGGGGAGGAGGAGGATGGGAGGCTATTTTATAATGGGTCTAGAGTTTCTGCTTGATATGATTAAAAGTTAGTTCTGTAGAGAGATGGTGATGATGGGTGCCCAAAAATATGAGCATGTATAATGATGTTAGATGATACACTTAAACTGGTAAAAATTTCCCAGAAGATCTTCAGTGTTTATTTTATCACAAACGACAAGTATTTGAGAACATGAATAGCTTTACCATGACTTAAAGATTGTATAACACACACTTTTCAAACCAGTGACACACTGTTCCATAACTATGAACAGTTTTATATATCTGCTAGAAACATTTTAAGAAAATGATGAAAACACATGCATTGTATATTTTGATGTAATTTTAAAAACACCTAACAGTTTTCAGATTCCTCAGAGTAAAACCTCCAAGGCCTCCCTGACCTGTCCTCTGGTTGCCTTCTGCCCTCCATTTCCACCCCCCCTTCACTCCCTCCCATTTGCTCATTCCTCCACCTTGGTTTGGGACTTTGGTGGTATTTTAGTTTTTGATTTAACAAATATAACTTACCTGAAGATTAGAGTGCAAAGCTAGCCACACTGGTTAGCCATAGAGGCCAGACAGTGGTAGTATACACCTTTAATCCTAGCAGCTACTATAGTTAGCCATAGAGGTCAGGTAGTGGTGGCACACACCTTTAATGCCAGCACTTGGGAGGCAGAAGCAGATGAGTATTTGTTAATTCAAGGCCACCCTGAGCTACATGAAATTGATCCAGTCTAAAAGAGAAACAGGGCTCACACTTGGAATCTCACACCTTTAATCCCAGCACTAGAGAGGAACATAAGGCAGGGGGCCGGGATGGGCAGGAAGACAGGAGCTGAAGGGAGTCTGAGGTTTGGTGGATCTTGGATTGTCCCTTCAGTCTGAGCATTGGTAGAGGTGAGAGCTCGCAAGTGGTTGGCTGCTTTGCTTCTCTGACCTTCAGCTTTAATTCCAATATCTGTCTCTGGATTTTTTATCCATGCTACATTTGACTTTCCAGAAAGCTGTCCCAATACCTTCCACTGGCCACAAAGCCCAATCCATAGCTGCACTGGGAATGTTCTACCATCTTGGGGGCCCCCGTGGTTCCACTGGTGAAGTAGATGGCCAACGAATCTTGACTCTTGGTTCTCACACAGTTGTGCTCTGTAGAAGCATTTCTGAAAAATGCAAGAATTCCAGGTGACACTGCTAATATAAATACACCAAGCAGTACCAAAATTATAACAATCGTAGGGCTGCCATTTCAACATATGTGCATGAGGTGCTTTGTGGAGGATTTTACTACCTGCACATGCCTTAATAGAAAGATATTTCTCTACAACAGTTTTTTAGCCAAGAAAATTGACGCTCAAAATGTCCAAATGACTCATTTGAAAGATCTAAAAAGTTGAGTAAATAGTTCAGTCAGTACAGTTTAAAGGGGCAGACATGAGTTTAGATCCTTAGCTTGAATCTATAATCTCAGGCTTGGAGATGCATAGGCAGAAGATCCATGGAGTTCACTGGGCAGCCATTCTACCTAGCTGGTGAGCTCCAGGTTCCATAAGAGACCCTGTCTCAAAAAATAAGGTGATGGAGAATGATAGAGGAAAATACCTGATGTTAACTCTGTCCTGCACATACATACATACATACATACATACATACATACATACATACACACACACATCTACATGAACAAACACACACACACACACATACTCACATATCACATACATATAACACACACACACACACATTCCTACATTCTTTGAGTGGGTCTGAGGAGTTTGTGGTAGAACACATACATTCTCATGTGTGTAATTCTTTTCATTTATGAATAGTCCTATCCCTAACTCAATTCTCAATGTAAAGATAATTTTCTTAATGTTTCTTCAAAAATTAGTGGTTTGAAATTAGGTAATTTCCCAAGTTCTGCGATTTGAAGCCTCAGCTAGTTCATGGTTCTCAGCCCTGGCTATGTCTTAAGATCTCTGAGTTAATTTTTAAAAGAAATTCCATTACTTGTGCTCCACCCTGGATAAAATGAAATCAGAACTTTGATTCTTCTTAAAGCTTGAGCAATTTTAATGACAACTGATATTAAAAGTATATATCTAGTTTAACCTGGCAACTCCCCCAAATTTCATGGGCTGATCTTCAGAAATGAAGACTGGAGTCCTGGTTCAACTACATCTGGCTAAGTAGGCCTGATACGAGATTGCAAAATTGGTATGCAAAACATTCAGGTCCATCTGGTCATCGAGGTGGATGCTTCAGGCTCAAAAGTCCAGCACCCAGTGGCCTGTTTTGTATTCTTCCTTTCTTGTTTTTTATTTTGTTTTGTGACAGGGTCTGGCTGTGTAGTTCAGGTTGGCCTTAAGCTCACACTCCTATCTCAATTTCCTGAGTGCTAGGGTGACAGGTGTGAGCCACCAGGATGGGCATTCTGATCTCTGATCAGGAAAAAAGATCTCAAGTTCCCAGGTAAACATCTGTCACACCCTTCTTACAAGGCAGAAATAGTCTTGACTCTGCCCTAATTCTGACTTCGTGTGGCTCCTTTCAAAGATTAAGCAAGGTGATTTCTTCCTTACAACAGTGTTCTGAGCTCCAAAGCACAGAGCACCAGTATTCTGAACCACAGAACAGGCCTCATTAAATCCTTCTTGCACAAATGAATGTAGGTGACAGCTTATTTAGCATAGTGTCTGGCAGACAGCAAGCACCAAAAAAGAGCAGCTGTTTCACTATTGACAGCTTTCTGTAAACTAAATGTATCATAAAGGTTAGCTCATATTCCCTGGCTAAGAATTCAAGCCATCTTTGCCATCATTTTAGAGGACACTGGGATGAAGCGACACATCTAGTAACTGAGTGACTTTGAACATTGAGGTGGTCACAGGATGTTGTCTCTGGCCAGTATCTCTTTGATTCAGTCACCTCATGCTCAATCATGTTGCTTTAAAAGAAAATACCCAAAGCGTATCTCATTGCTACTCTCCTGGAGAGTCCCAATTTACCGAAGGAGTTCCCGGAAATTGATCCAGCCTGGACGACTGGTGTCAGACACCAGAAGCTTGGTTTGGAGGGAAGGGCAGTCAGCACTGATGGTGTCCACTTGTGGGGCTAGGGCATCACTGGTGATGATGGACTTGGCCCTGGCTGTCTGAAGCCGGTACTTGAGATCCTTCGCTGTCAGCTGGGAGACACCTGGGATCATGACCACACCTTGGGCCACACAGAGAAGGGATGTTGTTAGAGAGGAGGAAGATTCTAATGTAGGGGCCAGATAAACAAGTGTTTGAGGAGGGATGGAACACCTGAGGGAACAATAATAGTAGCAACAAAGTAGAAAAAGGTATTTCCGATGGTAGGAATTTTCCCGACTTTACTTCACTTAGTTCTCACAATGCTCAGAAAAACATGCCATTGTGGTAAACACTCCATGCACTTTAAAAGAGTATGGGTCTTTAGACTTTCGTGCCTTAACTAAATCAAATGACTTGCCCAAGAGTACATAGCTAATGTGTAATAAAGCCAGAATTGCAGAGCTAAAGCAGCTGTAAACCTGCTCTGTCCTGCCTAGATTTATGTCAACTTGACACAAGCTAGAGTCATCTGAAAGGGAATATCAATTGAGAAAATGCCTCCATAAGATACAACTGTAGGGCATGTTGTTAATTAGTGATTGATGGGTGGGGCTATCCCTGGGCTGGTGATCCTGGGTTCTACAAGAAAGCAGGATGAGCAAGTCATGATGAGCAAGCCAGTAAATAATACCCTTCCATGATCTTTGCACCAGCTCTTGCTTCCAGGTTCTGCCCCTGCTTGAGTTCCTGTCCTGACTTCCTTCAGTGCTGGACCACAATGAGGAAGTATAAGCCTAATAAGCCCTTGCCTCCCTAAGTTGGTCATGGTGTTTCATCACAGCAATAAAAACCCTGACTAAGACAGACAGGAGTCCATGATCTTGACTTATATTGTATTGCCTCAACAACTCCTTAGTTCAATTTTTCTCATGACTTTCAAACAAAATATTGCAATAAATCCTTTTATTTTGTGTGGATCACTTGCTGATAAAGGAAATATAGCAGATAGGGACTCCAGAATCCCCACATAACTTCAATCAAAGCTGTGCAAAGGGTGACATAGTCCATCTACCTCTAAAGGTAAGGAATAAGAACTGGGTGGGGGTGACTTGACATTTGAAAGCCCTTGATATCTCAGAATGCAAATTATTAGTATTTTCTGTGGTGTTTAACACTCACTTCACAGAGGAAAGTATCTAGTGAGAACAAAAGGCAGAGGGAAAGGTCATTTCAGCACAACACCAGAGTCAAACTCATGTTCTTACTACACTTTGCCCTGTCTCTGAAACTCTTGCACAATTTGTGCCCAGTTTGAGCACTCTGAATTGAGTGTTGCTCTTTTATACATGTGTATGCACGAATATGTGTGTGCTCATGTGACTGTAGGTGCTATGTATGCAAGTAAGTATGGAGGAGGTAAAGAAGACAACCTCAGGTGTCTCTTCAATTGCCGTCTACCTTGTTTTTGAGACAGGCTCTCTCACTGGCTTGGGACTTGCCAAGTGTGCCAAGCTGGCTAGCTGTGGAGCCCCAGAGATCTGCCTGTCTCTGCCTCCTCAAGGCTGAGATTATAAATGTGTACCATCATACTTGGCTTTTTTATAATATGGGTTCTGAGGATCAAACTCAGGTCTTTGTGAGGTACCCCCAGTCCTGATGTGCTTCTTCATTCCACTACTCCATTTTCACATCCCTAGAAGTCCTTTGTTTGTTATGGACTGGGGACTGTATTCAAGTTTGGAGCCTAAGTAGATGCGGTTTGAAAGGAAATGGCCTCCAACAGGAGAGGCATTATTAGGAGGTGTGACTTTGTTGGAGTAGATGTGGCCTTGTTGGAGGAAGTGCGTCACTGTGGAGGTGGGCTTTGAGGTCTCATACATGCTCAAGATACTGCCCAGTGTCTGAGTCTACTTCCTATTGCCTGAATATCAAGATGTAGCCAGAATCTTGTCTGCCTGCACTCTGCCATGCTCCCCACCATAATGATAATGGACTGAACCTCTGAAAACGAAAGCAACCCCAATTGAATATTTTTCTTTTATAGGAGTTGCTGTGGTCATGGTGTCTCTTCACAGCAATACTAACCCTAACAAAGATAGAAAATGATTGACAGCCAGAACTGTCAATAAGAGAAAGTCAATCACTTTAACCTGGCAAGTGCATATGAGGAAAATCTATGGATGTAGGGATGCAATGACATCAGCTGTGGTATCTTCTGCAGTGTTGGAGTGGAGGCTCCACCTCACCTCATAATGTAAAATGTAGTTGTGAGTTATTTTATTTAAGTATCGATAAAAGCTGTAGGGTAGGAAAAAGTGAGATATTTGGTGACAAAAATAAATAATACTTTAAAAAATGTTTTGATCATTGAAAAAATCTCTTAACACAGTGCCTAGCACATAGTAGGTGCTTTAAAAAATTGCAAGGCTTCCTTATACTTCTACCCTTACTAAGCAGTTGACTCTTCATTATCATATCATTGTCTAGCCTCTGCAAACAATCAGGTTTGAGACTGCTGGGCAAAGGAAAAGTGAACCCCAAATACGGTTCTCTTGTGGGAACTGCAAGCTCTGGTGGGCAGGGTCAGTCCTACCAAAGAGCCCTAGCCTTGCTTACTGACCTGTTCGCATACACGCCACGCTGATCAACCACCAATCTGGGAGTCGTGGAAGCACCAGCATCATTCTGTCTCCAGGTTGCAGGCCACAAACACCCTCTAAGATATTGGCTGCCTTCCTGGACTGCTTCCCCAGCTCCTCAAAGGTCCACTTGACTTCTGCTCCTAAGCTGTTCACCCACCAGAATGCAGGATTTGGAGGCCGGTGCCCTTCCTGGACAGTAGATGTAGCCAGGGGAAAAAATAGAAGCCATTGTTGGGTGGCTTTGCTCATTTGTTTGTAAGAAAACTATATTTTTATAATAGTTATGTGTTCACAGAGTTCAAAAATCAAAATTATGAAGCCAGGCAGTGGTGGCGCACACCTTTAATTCCAGCACTCGGGAGGCAGAGGCAGGCAGATCTCTGTGTGTTCGAGGCCAGCCTGGTCTACAAAGCTACACAGAGAAATCCTATCTTGAAAAAAATCAAAATTATGGGCACAAGGTATGACTCGGTTGAGTAAGACTCAGCATGCACAAAGACCTAGGTTAGGTTCCCATCACTGAGTAAGACAGGTGCTGTGTGGCATGCCTATAACCCCAGTACTTAGGAGGTAAAAACAAGAGGATCAGAAATTCAACACCATCTTTGACTGCACAGTGAGTTTAAGTCCAATGTGTCTACATGAGACTCTCCCTCATAAAACTAAAAGCCAGTCAGTCAAGCACAAAACTCAAAGGCTGGTTCTTTCTTTGTACTTAAGAGAGTGGCTAGTTTTATTTGCTATTTACATATTTTCACAGTGTTGAGTTTAGGCAAATATAAGCAAATTTTCCATACCAACATCTTTGACATAAAAGGTAAGATGATTTATGCTGTCCTGTGTCTTTCCCTGTTCAATTAAAACATTACTCACATCACCTACTAATTAACACAAAAAAAGTGCACAACGCATTGGTTTTCAATATAGTCCCACAAGGTTGTATAGCTGTATTACTTATTGTTGCCACGACCAAAGGCAACTTAAGAGTTTATTTTGATTTAAAGCTCTAGAGAGCTAGATGTCTATGATGGTGGGGGAGGCACGGTGGCCGGAGCAGGAAGCTGTGAGATCACCTAACGGCACAGAGCAAGTGAGACAGAGGTGGACACAGCATAAACCCTGAGAGCCTGCCCAGGGCCTTGTCAGATCTTTTTCAGGCACACGCATGACCCAGGTGAGGCCCCTGGTTCTAACACGCAGTTTCTGGGATGCTTAGGAATGTACAGGAGGCTTTCAAAGCCCATGTGCATTTCTCAATCCCTAGTCTTTCTTTTCTTTAGCTTCTTGGTTATTCTACTAGCTTTTGGTTTATTTTTCTTTTCCCATGTGGGCATCTAACACTTCATCTGCTTCTTGCAATCACAAAGTTAAACTAATTGCCTACAATTTCTTTTTTGACAACTGCCTTCCTGGGAATAGACTTTTTTACTGGTTAAATTCCAAGCTGTGGCAACTCTAGACAGTCTTACAAAAGTAACAACCAGTCAACTGGTGTTCACTACATAATACATACATACATACATACATGTAACATTATGTAGCCCGAGAAGGTTATATTTAGGAATATATAGTGTGTGTGTACACACATATGCATAGATGCGTGTAACGATGAAAAGAGAGGATGTGAGTTTGGGAGAGAGCAAGGATGGATATATATATATATATATGTATATATATATATATATATGGGAGAATTGGAGGGAGGAAAGGGAAGGGAGACAATATGTAACTATATTATAATCTCAAAAATAAAAGAAAAAGATGGGAGTACCACCAAATAATGATAATTCTTTGGAAATGAAGCTTTGAAAAAGCTCTGGAACCATTCTTTGCCTTTGGAGGCTGCCAGGCTCCACTGGGGACAAGGACTGCTGCTTTCCAGGGCTTCTGGGCAACTAAAAAGTTGGCTCAGGACCAGGGAAGCTTAAAATGCCCCAGACTCGCTGTTCAGCCTGAGGCTCAGCAATGGCTGCAATAAACAGTGGGTGCCAGGGCTCTGCTACTTCTGAAGATACGGATTCTTTTCCAGTGTTGCCCTCAGCACTGTGGCTTTCATGAAGCCGAGAACCCTGGAAAATTCCATTTCATTGTTAAAACTTACTCTTGCATCTTTTGCCTTTATCATCAGAAGACCTCTAAGAGGTCAGGTATTGAGACTAATAACTTTAATCTCAGCAAATGGGAAGTTAAGCCATGTAGCTAAAGTTCTGCCGCCCCCCAAAAACACAAAACTCCAAATTAAAAAAAACAGACAAAACACTGACCTAACATGTGCAAGGGTCTGGACTTCGTCCCTAACACGGGAAAAGAAATGTGAAGAAGGGGAAGAGAAAAGGGAAACTCCTCTAAAATGGGAAAAAGAGAAAAAGCCCTTACTCTTTGCACATAGCTAAGGATGGAGCATTCTGCCTGTGAGTCACATACACCTCTCATTTAATGCTCACTACAGCTTGGGGCAGCCGATGCCTGGAATCCTAGTTGCAAAGAGAAAGCCAAGGCCCAGAGATCTCAGTTAAGTCCACACTTAAGTATGTGGGTGATGCGTGCCTGGTGACTGCAAAGGCTGCTTGTGTCTCCTTCATCCTCAGTCTGTCTTACCTGTTTACCATCTTCAGTGGCAGTGGAGTATTCCTATATCCAGTGGTGGCAGAATCAACAAGATTAAAAGTAACAGAAATGAGATAGGAATAGTAGATCGTGCCTGTAATCATAGCACCTTCGAGTCTCAGGCTGGAGGCTTGCCATGAGTTCAAGGCCAGGTTGAACCACAAGTTGGCTATAGTTCCAGGCCAGTCAGAATTTCACAATAAGACTATCTCAAAAACAAAGAAACACACCCCGGAGACAAGCAGGCAAATCTCTGTGAGCTCAAGGCCACTCTCATCTATATAACATAACAAGTTACAGGCTAGTAAGGGCTACATTGACCTGTTTTTTGTTTGTTTGTTTTTGTTTTTGTTTCTTTAGAGCAAGCAAACAAAATTAACCCTGAAGTTTCTTTGGAATCAAAATTTATATTCTCACATCACCAATAAGTCATTGGTATCAAATATAACACAAAGAGCTATCCATAATAGGCACATACAGAAGGGAAAATAAAGAAGTGTGTGTAGGTAAGACACACGGTGAAATCAGGATTTGTTTGGTTGTTTGTTTTGGTTCACTTCTAGGAGAAAAGCTTTGATCCTGAGCTCCTGTTTCTCCTGCTTGGAAGGGAAGTGTGTGACAGTGAGAGACAGTATCAGAGCAGAGCCCCTTCTCCTTCTCATCAAATCCATAGTAGGAGGATGAAGAAGCATGGCTGTCGTGTGTGGCTTGGGCTCAGGAACCAGTGAACCTGGTACACATGGTCTGGGTCAGACTTGTTTGTCTCAGGCTTGAGTGCCAACAGTGCGAGTTTTAAGACTTCCCAGGTTCTTAGGTCACAATGTTGAAATGCACTGTTTTGCAGTCTTGAGTCTCACTGCAGTGTCTGAGGGACTTCAGATGCCCCCATGGGACACCAGGGCAGCGTGAGGCTCACTCACCTTTTCCAGCCGACTCCACTCGTCCAGCACATCGTGAGCAAAGTTGAAATACTCAGGTACCGGCTGCTTCCCCAGGCTGATGGCTTCCCAGGTGGCCACAACCTTGGGGACAGGTGGAGGTGGTGGCTGCCTGTGAATCCTACGGATGCCCCAGGAACTCCTCAGCGCCTGGAGGACCAAGCCTCTCTGCCAGAACCTCATGTCTTCTGCCTGTCACCAGAGGAAAGACTGAAGGATTCTGACCAGCTCCAAGAGTAGCATAGCTCATACTGGCTATAGGGCACACAATCAACTTCATTCTGATGTGACACTGGTAGTATCTTCTCTGAACCAGAAGTACTCTCCTAGCTCTCCCTGTGTGGGAGTCTGCATGTATCTGAAGTCATCTGTTCAGAGCCCACTTCTCCAAACACAGGTCTTCAAAAGGATCCCAATAACAATAGTTTTGCTACTGTATTAAAAACTTTAATGTGCAAACCGTGTGTTTGTGTGTATGGATTGTACACATATGTTCAGGTGCACATATGTGTTTAGGTACATGTGTTTATGTATATGTGGAAGCCAGAGGAAAATCTTGGCTGTTAGACTAGGATGTCTGACCAGCACTCCCTAGGAATCCACCCATCTCCAGCTCCTTTATGTACATTCTGGGGATTAACTTAGGTCCTCATACTCGAAGTGTAAGCACTTTATTGATTGAATTATCTCCCTAGCCCCTTCACGCACATTTTAACTATTTTAATTGACATATAATTACACAGATTTAGGGAGCACACTGTGACATTCCAGCTAATTTGTGCATGTGTGATAGTGGGTTAGTGTGATTAACATAGCTGTCACCTCAAACAGCCCAACACTGCCCACTAGAGACAAATTACAACTCACAGAAAACTAAAAAGAAACATGAGACTTTATATATCTCTTACTTCACCAGACACGTGAATAACATTATCCCTTCAACATGACACCCCTGTGAGAAGAAGACATTTGGAAGACATTTGTATTCTTGTACCAAGACTGCAAATGCAGTGTGCACTTCACACTAGCATGCACAGCTAGGTTTAGGCCAGCTGTGTGTCAAGTGCCAGGTGCTGCCAGTGGGCAGTGGCATGAACAGGGCAGGGCTGTTTTAGTGCCTTGCTGCTCAGAGGATGGGCCTTGGAGCACAAGTGGTCTCCAGACTCTGTGACACACGTAGGCTGTCAGCCCCATCTGTGAGTGCATGTGACTCTGCATGTTCGTGGGACCCCACATATGTCTGTGGCCTGGGGATGCTCCAGCTTCAGTCCCTTGGGCCAAGTTCCTCTAGTGATGACAGAATAGGGCAACGGTAAAACAACAACCATGTGTTTCAACAACAGGAGAAACCCACCTCCACAACCACTGATTGACTGTACACAGAACACACTGAAAAAAAAAACAAAACTGTGTACATTATTTCACACCCAGCAATACATTGCCCAAGCTCCTGAAATTAATCATTCATGGTCCTGCAAACAACCCTTTATAAACACATGGGGTTCCAGAAAAAAATAACTTAAAAGTTAGAGGGAATAGTTGAGAAGAAGAAGGGGATCTGTGGGGGGTGGGAAGGGACAAAACGTAGTGATGGGAATGATTATGATGGAAAAACATTTTATACATTTTGTATCTGCCTAGAAAAGTTTGTGTGAAACCCGTCATTATGTATAATAGCATATGCTTAATCAACAATAAACTTATAAAAAAAGCTTTTCATTAAACCCTGTGACAATGCTGCTGAGAATGGTACTTTCCCAAAGACAGAAAAAGTGACTCCCAAGCCTCACTTTCCAGGAGAGCCCAGGTTTGACCTCTGTCATAGCTGCTAGCCCTGGCTTTGGGGCCTAGAGGCCTCTGACACCACCCCTGCATTTTGCCTTTTCTTTTGGCTCTTCCCTCCTTGGTGGTCGAACTCCAGTCTCCAGGCCTTTCCCTACACCTTCCTAAGGCCAGTTTATGCTGTGCCTACCCTTGATTTAATCACCAAGACCTCTGGGTAGGTGGCACTTGCCAGTGAAGGATTTCTTGCTCAGTTACCTTGTTTTAAAATCTGAGGCACACACGAGGCATAGTGTTCCTCTTCAGTAGCAGGGCAGACCTGAAGGCTCCCGAGAAACTCACCCAGAGGCTGAAGAGGAAAGGATTCTGACCAGGAGCTTTAGCCACAAACACAGCTTAGAGAGAGAAGCCTTGGAAGTCAGCAGGGGACGCGCAGCTTCAGCCAACAACAGGACACGGTGAACCAGTGAAAGTGGCTCTCTGCCAGTTCCCCCTGGCTCACAGGGCCTGCAGGACTAAACCCTGGCCTGGACTCTGCCTCCTCGGGATTGGGACATTTGCTTCCTGGAATTCAGGTCAACGACCTAAAACTGGAAAGAGAACTTTACTCTGTGTTAACAGAAAGGCCATAAAACCAGACCCCCATTGTGTCTTGCTTAAAGCCCCCTTGCCTGCCCTCCAAGCATAAAGATAGACAGTGAATGGGCAATCTTGCTGATGATGAGAGCAGGGTTCTTGGAGTTAATGAAATGGCTCTTGGATGGGGGCCAAGGCAGCACAATTACATACATTTACTGAAAGTAAGAAGAATCAGCTCTTATCTAATACGAAGCTGTTGAAAGGGTTCTCTTGTTTCTGCAAGGGTCAAAGTCAAAGTCGTAACACTGGTGCACGGCAGCAGGTGGATTCCTTGAGAACAGCAGCAGCAACGGGGCCATTGAGATGCAGATAGTGTAGCTATCACCAGAACCCGATGGAGAATCTCCCATGTTAATTCCTGTCCCACCTCCCCACTGTTGCTGGTTCCATCCTGGCGTGCTGCACGCCTGTCTCTTCCTGCCTTACTATCTCTTCTGTCTGTGGTTCTCAAGCTTCCTAATGCTTCAGCCCTGTAATACAGTTCCTCATGTTGTGGTCACTCCCACTACCATAAAAATTATTTTGTTGCTACTAAATATCTGATATGCAGGATGTCTGTTACAAGCCCCCCCCCCAGGGGTCACGACCCACAGGTTGAGAACCATTTTTTTGTACACGATTTCCTACCTTCTTTATCAAGGTGTCACTTGGAATGGCACAAGGCTCTCCCTCAGACTAGAACTGTCTCCTTTGGCCATCCTCCCTCACACCTCCTTTGGGCACCATCCCTTGCTGCCCATGTTTTCAGTTAATTCACTGTGTTTATCCCCCTCACACATGCACACTAGAACATGAACCCCACGTAGATGTAGGTTTAGGATCCTCTGTTCACCCATATCCCTGCACTTAGACCAGTGCTGCTTTGGGAGGAGTTTGTGATTATTTGTTGAATCTACAAGTAGTAAAAGCAGATTCATTCAACATTTTTCTCACTGCTAGATATTTTGCAGGAGGTTTTCCATGAGTAACAGGTATAAGCTATTTCTTTGTCCCTCCCTGTCCCACAGCTGCTTTGAAATAATCACTCAGAGGCTTAATATTAACTATAAACTCTTTAGCATATAGTTCAGGCTTGTTACTAACTAGGTCTTCCATTTAAATTAACCAATTTCTATTAATCAATGTATTGCTACATGGACATGGCTTTTACTGGTCTTCTGGCATCTCCCTTGACTCCACCATTTATTTTCCTTCCTGTATTCAGTTTGGCTTTCCTACCTAGCTATATTTTGCCTTGCTGGAGACCAAAGCAGCTTTTATTATCAGCCAATGAGAGAAACATATATTCATAGCATACAGAAGTGTTATCCCACAGCAAATAGGTACAAATTGATTTCTGACATTGTAGGTATGAAAAGGTGTGTTTTATTTTTGTTTATAGAGTAAAATCTAATCAGGTGAAGTCCCCAGCACAGGGGGACTTCAGAGCATCTTCCTTAACACTAGAAGCAGATGCAGGGTTCTCGTAGAGAAAATGCTCAACCTCCCACAGGGTGTCTAACATTCATGATGCCATGCTCCCTGACTCATCTGTTGGTCAGGTCACACAAGGGTAGCTTCTCTTTCTCCCTATATACCTCGGCCACAGAATCTTTGCTGGGCCCTAGGCAATAAACTCGTGCCTAAATTTGCAGCAACTTCTAGAGATAGGATCTTCATGCTCAGGTAAATGACAAGTGAGTTATCTTCAGGTGATACCATCTCATTATCTCTATTTCTGTCAGTATTTGATAAGAGCTAGGGCAACAGAGAGCTGAAGGCTGATAACTCTGGTGGTAACAACGACATACTAATAATACAAACAGCTTTTATTTAACACATATTTATTCAACAAATATTTGCTGGGTGCCTAGCTAAGCTAGGCAAAGCAAATGGCATGTAATTTAGGAGGTGATTAATGCCCAAGATGGGGGCGAGTCTGTTATCATTTTATACACAGTGGTTGGGAAAAGGCTAACTGGGAAAGTGACACTAGACATGAGGAAGCCAAGAGTATAAGTCAAGTATTCCTAGGTAAAGAGCTTCCTGACCGAGGAGAATGCAAGTGTCAAGGCCCTGATACAGAAACACGGGCATCGTATTTGAGGAAGAAGGAAGAGGCTGATGTGGCTGGAGGGTAGTCAGGGAAAGGCAGTAAGAGGGCCTGGGGGTATGGCTCAGTGGAAAAAGAGGTATAGTACTTGCTAAGTATGTGCAAACCCTGGGTTTGATTCCCTAGCACTTAAGAAGGGGAGGAGAGGGTAGTGGTCAGACGGAAGAGGGTGCTTACTGCCTTCAATGCACTCAGCTGGTCATTTTGCACCTATAAGTTTGCTTAACCCTTTCCACACCCAGTGAATTCCACATCATTGAACAGTAGAAGGAACCAAGTCTCAGAAAGAATAAATTGGTCACACTGGTTAGGACAGTTCTGGGCCTCAAAACTCCAATCCATAGATACCCAACTCCCTATAGTTAGTTTGGCTTTTGGTCCCATAGAAACTCTGGTTCCTGGTGTCCATGGGCACATTTTTTCAGCAGGGCTGCTATGCCAGGCCCCTCTTACTCAACAATGGCCCATTCTTCTCCAGTCCCTCAGCCTGGCCCTCTAGAACCCCAGAACTCAGAACATTGTTTCAGAGGCAGCTCTGACCTCCACGTGCTCAAGGAGGAACTTCATTTCTGCCCCTCGATTTCTTGGGAACACCCATTAGCAGACAGGTCCTGCTCTCATCACAAAGGGAAACTTAAGGCCTGCTCTTCAGACTCCCACATCCTCTCTGAAGTGCCACAGAGCTAACTGCCCCAGCTCAAAGTAGCCAGACAGTTGGATAGCCTGAGAGGAATCCAGCTCCTTGCAGGTATGAGCTTGCTGAATAAGAACACTCTGACTGAGAGGTGACCTTCTTTCTGTTAAGGACATCTTATATTTAGGATGGCTACACATTAGGGTCAGTACAATGGCTTTATAGGCTCAGTATAACCCTACTCCAGACCATGAGATCAGAACCTGCTAGGTTTGGACTCAAGCATTAGTATTTGTGAAAAACTCCTCCAGGAAACTGTACTGTGCAGTGGTAATTAAAAACCCACTCGAATAGGTCCTGGCTTTGTTGTGGGAATTAAATGAGGCCATTTGTTCACTCACTAGTCACTGAGCATCAAAACAGGTCCAGACATGGTTCTAGGAGGTGGGGAAACAGCTACAAACAATTCTACTCATTTATATTTAACGGCTTTAAAGATCCAGATGAGGTGTTGCATTATCTGAAATCTCAGCACTTGGGAGGTTGAGAAGGTGGGAAAATCACGAACATCTAGTCAGCTGGGGCTACAAAATGAGTTCCAGGCCGGCCTTGGCTACTTAGTGTGACCATATCTTTAAAAAAGAAAGTTCAAAAATGAAACATAAAGTACCCAAGTAAACAAAAGCAAACTGAAATATGAAATAAACACTGGTGACTGGGAGGGCAGAGTGTTTCAGGTGGAGGTGAATGAGGCCAAGTGTCATTGGAACCCTCTCCACCTGATATCTGGTATCAGCTGGGGTAGCAGCTCCTGGTGTCCTTGAGTGAGTACTCTCATCAGGGGCTCCTCTATCAGGATCTGAACCATTATAAGAGTCCCAAAAGGTGAGATAAACAAGTTGTAGGCAGAGGCAAAGTCCTAGGGTGGAGTGAGGGGAGGGGAGGGCAAGGTCACAGGGCATTAAGGACAAGGTCCAGAGGCATTGGGCCTGACAGAATAACACAACTTTTGGATGATTCATCCTGGTAGAACACAAGAACCTTTGCAGAAAGAGAAACAACTTGGTCTAGTTCATATTAAAAATGGAGCTCTCTAACTGCTGTGTGTGCCAAGGATTAAAGATTACAAAGAATAGGAGACCATTAAGCATCACATGGTGTGGTTTAGAGCCAGTGGTGGCTGGGATATGGGGGTCTTGGCAGAATGCTGGTGGGCAAAATCCCACAAAAGGGCTACTTGGGGACACCCCTTTAGTGTCAGCTGTTCTTACGAAGGACGGCTCCCGCTCCAGTCACTTTCCCCTGAATCGGGGACTGACGTTGAATCTGAGATTAGCATTTTTAGGATTGAGTTGGTTAGAAGTGTTCAGGGGAGAGGGCTCCAGAAGGGCCCACAAAGAATGCCGGCCACAGAAACAGGCAGGTACAGGAAAAGTGAGGTCTACACCCAGGTAACAAATGGGCAAAGCACAGGCAGAGGATGTCTCAGAGTATGCCTGAGGGCACAGGGTGCAGAGTTTGAGGGTCTCTCTGCAATGAAGTAGAGGCAAACTTAGGTTTTAGGGAACTCTCAATATAAAGAGTAAGAGGGACAGGAAGTGACTCCTAGAAAGTGTAAACAGTTCACTTATTTGCTTGCTTTAGTCGCATGTTCCCTGAGCAAAGCTTCCTACCATCACCCTACTTTAAATGTTAAGCTGACCCTTTCCTCCATCAGTTTTCAATCTTTCCTACCTGCTCTTGTCCCTCAGACCTTATCAACATATTCCTTTTTGCCTTGTCTGCTTGTTTCCCAGAAGAACACACAGACTCTTTGTCTGCTTTGCTCACTTCTGTGTCTTCTGTGCTTAGAAGGAAATGAGCAAGTGTCATGGCCTCAAAGATACTTAGTGAGTGAACAAATGAATGAGTGAATGTGGTAGCCTGAGTAAAAATGGTCCTCATAGGCTCAGAGGGAGTGGCACTAACATGAGGTGTGGCCTTGTTGGAGGAAGTGTGTCACTGGGGGTGGGTTTTGGGCTTTCAGACGCTCAAGCCAGGCCCAGTGTCATTTAATCTTCCTACTGTTTGTGGATCCAGATGTAGAACTCTCAGCTACCTCTCGAGCACCATGTCTGCCTCTGTGCCCACCATGATGATGGAATAATTCTCTGAACTGTAAACAAGTGCCAATTAAATGTTTTCCTTTATAAGAGTTGGAGTGGGCATGGTGTCCCTTAACAGCTATAGAAGCCCTATGTAAGACAGCTAATGAATGGATGAAACAAGGTTGACATGGTGAAGGCTGATGATGGTTTGTGTGGTGTTTTGAATAAGAATGAACAACATAGGCTCATATATTTAAATACTTGGTCACCAGGGAATGACACTATTTGAAAGGATTAGGAGGTGTGGCCTTGATGGAAGAAGTCTATCACTGGGGGGTGGGCTTTGACATTTCAAAGGAATTACAGATTAGTGAAGGAAACAATAGAAAACAGAAAGGTGATGAAAATGTTTGAATGAGGGAGCCAAGTGCCAGCCCCATCAAGTAGCAGATCTTGACAGCTTTGGCCATGTGGTTCTGGTTTTAGAGTCAAGGATAGAAGAAAGGCATTAGGTAACCTTCCTCTGAGACTAAGGAACACCACTGAAGCCAGGCATGTGTGTGTGTGTGTGTGTGTGTGTGTGTGTGTGTGTGTGTGTGTGTGTGTGGTCCCTGCAGTAGAAAGCTTATGTTTATAACTGGAATAATTTGTGGTGCTATGAACCTTAGGAATGAGTGTCTTGAGGATACATAGTGCCATTTTCCCTAGATTGTATGTTTTCAAATTTTCCCAAATAAAGAGTTAAAACAACAACAAGAGAATAACCATCTGGGAACCTTTGAAGAACATAAATATTTGGGTCCTGGAATGGCTGTTTTTATGCCAACTTGATACAAGCTAGAGTCACTGAAAAGAAGGGACACTTAATTGACAAAAAAAAAAAACCTCAATAAGATTGGGCTATAGTCAGGCTTGTAGGGCATTTTTTTTCTTTTTTTGGTTTTATGAGACAGGGTTTCTCTGTATTGTTTTGGAGGCTGTCGGTCCAGTCCAGCCTCGAACTCACAGCTTTCTGCCTGCCTCTGCCTCCCGAGTGCTGGGATTAAAGGCGTGCGCCACCACTGCCTGGCGGGCATTTTCTTAATTAGTGATTGATAGGGGTTACCCCAGCCCTTCTTGGGTGGTGCCACAACTGGGCTTGTAGTCCTGGATTCTATAAGAAAGACTGAGCAAGTCATGGAGAGCAAACAAGTAAGCAGCATTCCTCCATGGCCTCTGTATCAGTCCCTGCCTCCAGGTTCATGCCCTGTTTGAATTCCTGTTCTGACTTCCTTTGATGATGAACAGTGATATGGAAGTGTAAGTCAAATAAACCCTTTCTTCTCCAGCTTGTTTCATTATAACAATAATTGCTGTAACTAAGACAGGCCCCATATTGAATAATTCTGAATTAATCTGAGTTTGGCTGAGGTGAGGTGCCAGTCATATTCTTTAAATTCTATAGAGGATCCATGGTTAAGAAAAGAACATTGATATGGATCAATAGGATTAACATAGTAAACACAGAAAACGTTACCAAAAGCAATGTACAGATTCAATGCAATCCCCATTAAAATTCCAAAACAATTCTTCACAGACATAGAAAGAACAACACTCAACTTCATATGGAAAAACAAAAAACCTAGGATAAATAAAACAATCCTGTATAATAAGGAACTTCACCATCACTGACTTCAAGCTCTACTATAGAGCTGTAGTAATAAAAAATAGCCTGGTATTGACATAAAAACAGACAGGTGGACCAATATAATCAAATCAAAGATCCTGATATTAATCCACACACCTATGAACACCTGATTTTTTTTTTACAAAGAAGCTAAAAATATAAAATGGAAAAAAAGAGAAAGCATCTTCAACAAATGGCTGGCATGACTGGATGTCAGCATGTAGAAGACTGTAAATAGATTCATATCTATTGTCATGCAGAAAACTCAAGTTCAAGTGGATCAAAAACCTCAACATAAATGCAATTGTACTGAACCTAATAGAAGAGAAAGTGGGAAGTAGACTTGAATGTATTAGCACAGGAGACAACTTCCTGAATACAACACCAGTAGCACAGACACTGATATCAACAATTAATAAATGGGTCCTCTTGAAGCTGAGAAGCTTCTGTAAGGCAAAGGACAAGGTAAATAAGACAAAATGGCAGCCTACAGAATGGGAAAAGATCTTCGTCAACCCCACATCTGACAGAAGGTTGCTCTCCAAAATATATTTAAAAAATCAATAAGTTAGACATCAAATTATCAATAATCCAACTAAAACTGAGGTACAGATTTAAACAGAATTCTCAACAGGAGAATCTCAAATGGCCAAGATACACTTAAAGAATTGTTCAACATCCCTACCTATCAGGGAAATGCAAATTCCAGTAACTGAGATACAATCTTATACCTGTCAGAATTGGCTAAGATAAAAAATACTAAGAACAACTTATGTTGAAAAGGATGTAGAGTAAGGAGAATACTCCTCCACTGCTGGTGGGAGTGCAAGCTTGTACAGTCACTTTGGAAATTGATATGATGGTTTCTCAGAAAATTGAGAAGCAGTCTACCTGAAGACCCAGCAATACCATTCTTGAACATATACCTAAGGGATGCTCAGTCATACCACAAGGACACTTACTCAACTGTGTTCACAGCAGTGTTAGGTATTCATAATAGCCAGAACCTAGAAACAGCCTAGCTGCTCCAGAACCAAAGAATGGGTAAAGAAAATATGGTCAGTGGAAAAACAAGCAAGCAAACAAAAAAAAAAAACCCAAAACCCCCAAACAAAACAAAACAAAAAAACTGTGATGCCATGAAATTTGCAGACAAATGGATGGAAATAGAAAAAAAATCATCCCAAATGAAGTAGCACAGACCCAGAGAGATAAACATGATATGTACTCACTTATAAGTGGATATTAGTAAAGTAAAGGACAACCAGGCTACAATCTATAGCCCCAGAGAGGCTAGGTACCAAGAAGGGCCCAAAGAGGGACGTATGGATTTCTCTGGGAAGGAGAAATAAAAGAGATCTCCCGTGTAAACTGGGGGTGGCAGATGGGGATGAGAACATGAAGGATCTGATTGGGTGGGTTGGATGTAGGATGGATGGGGAGAGTGATGAAAGAGATGTCTTGATGGGGGAGAGTTTGGGGTTAGGGAGAAACGTGTTACTAGGGAAACTCCCAGGAATCCACAGAGGTGACCCCAGATAAGACTCCTAGCAATAAGGGAGAGGGTTCCTGAACTGGCCTTCTCCTATAATAAGATTGGTGACTACCTTAATTGTCAGCAGAGAGCTTTCATCCAGTAACTGATGAAAGCAGATGCAAAGATCCACAATCAAACACTTGACTGAGCTCCTAGAGTTCTGTTGAAGAGAGGAAGGGAGGGGTTATTTGAGCAAGGAGGGTCATGATTGTGACAGGAGAGCTGACCTGAGCTCATGGGAGCTCCAAGATTTTGAAGGAACAGCTAGGGAGCCTGCATGGGACCCACTTAGGCCCTCTGCATGCATGTGACAGTTGTGTAACGTGGTCTGTTTGTGAGGCTCCTAGCAGTGGGAACAGGACATGTCCTTGCTTGAGTTGACTTTTGGGAACCTATTTCCCATGCTGGGTTGCCTGGTCCAGCCTTGATGCAGGGAGAGGAGCTTGGTCCTGCTTCAACTTGATGTATCGTGATTCCTTGACTCTCATGGGAGGCATGCCCCTTTCTGACCACAGACAGAGGCGGAGTGGATGGAGGTGGGGTCGTAGATGGGAGGTGGATGGAGGAAATGGCAGGAGAGGAGTGAGGGCAAACTGTAGTCATATGTAAAATAAATGAAAAAAATAACAAAAAGAAAAGAGCATTGAGCACTCAACAATATGTATAATCTGAGTTTGTTTAAAATATGCATATGACTATTTTCAACATTAGTGGGATTCATTACCAATCAGCAGCTTTTTCCACAGAGGGATCGTGGGATAGATCTTTATTTACTTGACAATTTGTGTTGCTGTTTCTGTTTGCCTATTTGAGACAGTATTGTACCATGTAGCTCAGGCTGGTCTGTAACTCACTATGTAGTCCAGTCTGTAGTCTTGAGAACATTTTAAAGACCAGGCAATGGATTGGGCAGATTTGGAGAAGCAGGAAGCAGCACCAGTATCAGTCAAGGGGAGTGTGGAAAGGGGCCACTTAGAGACTTACTTTGGGATTCTGGAGTGGGACTCATCTTTGTGAAGTCTCACCAAGTGACTGGGAAAACAGTGGGTTCCAATTGCCCCTTTGATTCCAGGTCTTGAGGAATGGGAGCTGTTCTAGCTTCCCTTATGCAGTTGAGGTTGGCCAGGCAACCTTGTGTTTTGCTGTAGGGCTGCTGCCAAACTGTGCAATTCAGAGTGTTATGAGCTCTGCTCCTTCTACATTCCCCTACAAGCATAAGGAAAGGGTGTTCAGGTTTGAGAAGAGTTCTGTTTCCTCTGCTACCCCCTGCAGGCCAGCCATGGAACTGCTCTGGATGCCCCTGCTGGTGGTGGCTGCTTGCCTTGCTCAGGTCCTTTGCTCACCAGGGATAGATACAGGCCTCAACATTTCCCGGCCTGTGCACATCCTGGAAGATCATAACTTAATGGTGTTGACTCCTGCAGGCCTGGCGCAGACACTGAATGAGACCCGCTTCCTAATGGTGATTTTCCGTGAGTATATTTGGCTCTGCTAATGAAGGGTCATTGATTTTGGAGACCACAGGAGTTCTCTATACTGTCACATGCACAGAAAGGCACAAAAAATACTGTAGGCACTCACAGCTGGGGAAAGGCCTGTCCCCACAAGAATTCAAGCTCTGCTCACTCAGCTGTTTTTATTACAGTGGAAGACCAAGTTCATCTCTCTTCCTCCCTCCCTCCCTCCCTCCCTCCCTCCCTCCCTCCCTCCCTCCCTCTCTCTCTCTCTCTCTCTCTCTCTTTCTCTCTCTCTCTCTCTCTCTCTCTCTCCTTTTTAACCCTCCACCACTGAGCTGCACCTTTAGCTCCTACTTTTACATTTTTAATTACTCTGATAGCAATATGAACAATTCAAAGTATTCTATCATCTAAGAGACACTAAATTAAACTCATTGCGTTTCCATTGTTGATTCTGTCAATACACAACTGAATTCAAAATAAGTTTTTGAAATCTGGTAGACCTTTTAAGGTGACCTTTGGGAAAATAATTTTGGGGGAGGATTATAAACGTTTCCCTCAAAGGTAAATGGGCTTTTTATACAAGAGAGTTTTCGGGGACATCTCAGTGACTCTCAAATCCTTGGCCAGTCTCTCAAGGGCGATGCTCAGTGGGGACTTTCTTTCTAAGGTCTCAAATGCTGCCTGTGTCTAAAACAAACTTCCATGTTTGGGGTTTGGTTCTGACCACCTGTCACTTTTAACATTCTGTGTGCACTGATGACACCATCAAGCACTTCTCGCCAAAGTCAGAAACGTCAAGGTCATGCCCAAGTTTTTTTGCTGTGGCCTCATAAGAAGGTATCTCCATATCCTGTGGGTTCTTCATCACAGACTTTGTGGTCCCCAGCTATTTTCACACCCCCATCACTGCCTCTGCTTCACTCTCACTGCTCTCCACCGGAAACCCAAGGTAGGCCACTCCACGGACTCCATTCTCCTTCCAATGTGTTCTCCGTAAAGCACCCAGAGAGACTGGTTTCAGAACTGCAGCTCTACTTGTCAAAATGGAATATTCTGGCTCAAGTCTCTAGGTCTTTCATCACACACTTTGCTCTGTAGCACCTGTCTTCCACTTCTGCACTTGGACTGTGAGTTTAAGTTTCTCGTGAGGAAGCTTTGCTCATTCCCGTTTAGACTGGGTAGTAATCTTCCCCAGTCTGCTTCTCCTTCCTTCTAGGCACATTTGTCACATCACATCAAAAGCACTTCTAGACTTGCATGCTCCATGGAGTCATGTCACAAACCTGACCCATGTCTTGATCCCTGGAACTGACACTGTTGGAACATGGTAGGTCTCCACACATGCCAAGTGAATGAATGAATGATTGAACTAATGCTATTTTCTTTGGGTCTTCCTTTTCTCTGTGACAATTAACTTGAATGAGTCAAAGAGAGAAGGCAAGGCTACTTTTGGTGGAAAGTGACCAAGAAAGGATTGGCAGCTGTCATTAGGGCCATTTGCCAGTTGTCCCTAAAGCAAAGATGGCAAGAATATGTCTTGAAGTTACAGTAGATATTGACGGTAATCATGATAAAGATAGTCATCAGGATTGGAATAATAGTGACAATTGCTGATGATGGAGGTAATAATAGAGATGGTGATAATGATAGACATAATAATGGCAATGGTGATAATTGCTCAAGTTAGCCTTGATTGCCAGCTTGACTTAGCCTGGAGTCATCTGAAAGATGAAGCCTCAGTTGAGAAATTACTTAGGTCATGTTAGTCTGTGGGTACATTGTGAGGTATTGTATTAACTGTGAATTGAGGGCTCAAACTACTGTGGAATGTATTTCCATTTCTTGGGCAGGTGGTCCTTGGCAAACTTGTAAGCAGCATTTCTCCATGGTTTATGATTTAGTTCCTCTTTGAGTTCCTACTCCGACTTTGCTCAGTGATGAATTATGACCCAGAAGTATAAGGCAAATACATTGTTTTTTCTCCCAAATTGCTTTTGGTCCAAGTATTTTAGCATAGCAGAAGAAGAGTAGCTAATGCAGAATAGAATAATTATAGAGATAGTAATGTCAATGGTGGTGGTCATAGAGATGATGGTAATGATGATAGATATTATGATGGTGATGATGGAAATATTGATAATGATGTAAATTATGGTGGTGGTTGAAATAGAGATGCTGAGAGGGATGATGACTATGGTGATGAGGTGTTGATGATGACAGCTGTCATGGTTTTAACTATGGCAGTGATGATTTTAATGGACATTTATCAACATCTGCATTACAATTATTGTACTCAGTACCATGGTTCCCAACTTACTCATGAAACAAAATTCAGAAAGGTTAGATAATTTGCCCAGAGTCACACAAGTGGTAGGAATTTAAAACATAGTCTTCCAGCCAAACCACTGCTCAGTCCATCTTACACCACCACATTGACCTCCAGAAGATGTACTTTTATCGTAAGTATTTACTGAGTGCTGGGTATGCCCCGTATGTATTCTCAGCACTGAGAAAGGAGTGGTAAACTACATTGCTTTCCTGGAACTCACAGGCAGGAGAGGAGACACAAAGCAGATGCAGGAGTGAAGTATGTGGTGTGTCTTGTGGTTAACAATGATATGTAGAAAAGGGGTTGGGATGTGACAGAAGTGTGTGAGGTCTATGGCTGTGCCAGCACGGTCTCCCTTACCTCTGTTTCAAACACCCCAGGGCTCTGGGATGTGTATGGATTCTCTAAATGCTCCACCATTTGGCAATTATTCCAGTGCTTCTCTTTTCTGAGCATATACACTCATGAACTCAGCAATCATGATTCCAGCATGGCCAGGTCCACCAGGAAACTGGGAGAGGCCACACAGCAGAGTGGCCAGCAAAGAGGCCAGAGCTTACTGCTGATAATGGAGGGGTGTATCGAAGATGGTGATGGGAGAAGCATCAGTCTGTGAGGGAGGGAGAAAGTCTTTGCTTCCCATCTACGTGTGGGGACTTTGATGAGAATGATCATTCACACTCAGGTTCCATTGCTGAGCCAGTGACTGGCAACAGAGCCTGTGCCAGCTATCCTGGGGCTCAGCTTCCCCGGCTGTGCTTTACAAAGCATGTATCTGTTAGATGTGGCCTTGCCCACAGCCAGGAGGTGAGCTGCACTCTCTCCAAGTGCTCCAGATGGACAAGAGGTTTGGAAAGGATAGAACATTCTGGCTTGAAAGAGAACCAGTTTCCCCTAGCCCTGACAGCCTACCAGTCTCATGTGGTAGCGAGGACCTGCATTCTGGCAATGTCATCAGAAGGTTTACCATTCCATGTCCTCCCTCACATTTCAGCTAGGACAGCCCATCCCGATGGCCAAGGTCAGTTCTCTGGGGGCTGTTTTCAGTAATGAGCCCCTACCTTACCTCACTGCCCAGCTGTGGGAACCACCAGGGATTCCAGAGTACCAGACACTGTGACAGAGTACCGGGGTCTCTTTGGCTATCCGTTCCCAAGGTGGTCAGAGAGGGGAGTGAGTATCCAGTGCACCCTACCCACCTGTTTCTCACACCTTACCTACCTTTGCCTGAGAGAGTTCTCAGCCCAGCCATGGCAGGAGGGGCTCAATGACTATTTAGTTCCAAAATATTCCACCAGATGGCGCAAATGAGCCACATCACTTGCCCTTACTTTCTAACCAAAGGGGGGAAAATTCAGCATTAATAACAATAGCTATTAAAATGCATTATGTCCTTATTATGTGTCAGGCATTAATCTGAGTGTTTTTACATGCCTAGTGAAAGTTTAAAAACAAACAAACAAATAAACAAACCAGGACTTCTTCAACCAGCTTGAGTATATCCTGTTGTTAGGACCTTGGGCAAAGTGTGTGATTTTGTTGTGCCTCGGTTTCCTCATCTACACAACTGAGATAAGAACAACATCTACCTCCTAAGGTTATTGAGAGGAACAATAGACTTAGTACTTGTAATGCCCACAGATAACACTAAGCACCATGTAACTGACTGCTAAATTAATTTCATTTGATTCTGATAATCTCCCAAATTGTTCCATTTTTATCATCCATTTGTCTCATTTCCTGCCCCATTTCTGAAACCTACTCTTTAGCTGTGAACACAGGAAAAGCCAGGGCCTTCCAGGCAAAACCAAGACCAGACCAGCGTGAGGGAGAGGGACTCTGTAGTCTATCTTCAGACTTGTTCTTTCAGACAACCCATCCTCGAAGCAGTCCCGGAAGCTGGCTGAAGAGCTGGGCAGAGCCGCGGAGATCATCGGCAAGGGCAAGAATGGTTTGGGCTTTGGCAAAGTGGACATCACCGTGGAGACGGAGCTTAAGCAGGAGTTTAACATCAAGCAGGCCCCGGAGTTGAAGCTGTTTTTCGAGGGGAACAGGTCCGATCCCATCAATTGCAAAGGTAATGGTGATTGGGGTTTCGGTTGATTTCATACTTTGGGTAAGCCTGCATGGCAGCTCAAGGCGGGATGTGGGAGGCTCTGACCCACATGACCTCCCGGTGAGGTGATCCAGGCTCTTTTCCTTTGTGGCTCCATCTTGCTTAGAACCCTGAAGCCACCTGCTGTTCCCTCAGTCTCCAGATGGAGGGGCTCACCCCAGGTAGCATGTTGGCTAGAGTGTCAAACTCACTCCTGTTTGCCATCTGCTGGCTGGAGTTCCGATACACAGCAATGCAAGACAGCTGAGAAATCCAGCTCAGCTCTGTGTCTAAATGAAAAACGAGACTTGCAAACATTCAGCTGCTTTTATCAGAATTCTTAGCTAAGGAGGGACATGGCTACCTACCAGAGGTTCTTTCTAACTCCACTATGGAAGATTTCGTCATGGAAGCACTGCTGGGCCAAAGGGGAGGTTGCAAGGGGCTGGGGACAGCTTGGAGAGTAAAGCACTTGCAAAGGACCTGGTGGGATTTCCCCGAACTCCTGTGAAAATGATAGGCTGGGTGGTGCCTTCTTGCAATCCCAGAGCCGAGGAAGTAGGAATGAGTAGGAGACTGGGGCTAGCAAGCCAGCCACACTAACCTATTTGATAAGTTCTAGGCCAGTGAGGGGCCCCATTAGAAGAAAAGATGGTGCCTTCAGAACACCCTATGGTTGATCTCTGGGGCTCTCTATGGGCACACACACACAAGCATGTACATACACAGAAACAAGCAGAGGGTCTGGGCATGACAGAACAAAAGGTTGCAGTGGGTGTCCAGCCAGTACTTTTCCTCACGCCGTCATTCGTTGATCATTGCCGACACATCTATTCACATGCCCACTTACTGACAGATTACCATGATATTGAAGCTGTCTGGAGAATCACATTTCATAGTGTGTGACATGGCTGATCCTAATTTTTCAATGTAAACGGGTAGGAACAGATAGCTATGGACTAGCCGGAGGATGGGTGGACTCACTGCTGGATGTTACAAAGCTGGTGAAGCCCAAAGGAACTCAGCAGGAGGTGACTGAGATAGATGACTCCGTGGGTGAAGGCATTTGTTTCCAAGACTGAACCTGAGTTCAATCCCTATGATTACATGATGGAAGGTGACAACCTATGCCTGAGAGTTGTTCTCTGGCCTCCACAGGCATGCTATGGCATACCCTTGATAGCTAATTCATAAGTACACAAAAGAACCTAACCCATCCTCTACCATGTCAGCAGAATGGTGCCGTGGTATATGTGTTGAATAGCAGAATCAGAAAACAGACACTGCCTTTTACAGGCTTTGGAATTTCTGAAACTTTCTTCTAAGCAGTTAGTACAAGAAAAGCCTAGGAACTAAATGATCCAAATAAAGAATACAGTCCACCCCAGGAGATGCAGAGCAGGTAGGGGTTTTTGCTTCCAACAAGCCTGATGGAATATTGATTGTTGCAGGAGCCAAAGGGTTAGAAAGAGACTCCCTGAGCAAGAAATAAAAGTACATTGCAGTTAACAGGATGCTCACTAGAGGGTGTCAGAGAGATACTGGGCAGACTGGCTGGAAAAGAGCTTCAGAGGGAGAACCTTACATCACAGAGCAGGCAAGGACTTTGATGCCCAATAGTTCAAATAGGGGTTAACCTGTGCAAGGCAGTGAGGGGATGTGGAGAGGGAAATGGGGATCTGATTGCTAGGAATTCATAGGAATGATCCTCAACTATAGGGACCCATCTAACGCAAACAAGCGGCCCCTGGCTATGTGTTGGCTTTGGGAAGGACTGTGAAGAAGCAGGCCTGGGTTACTTTGTGAAAGTTCACATCTACTTATGGCATGGCTCAGGTGCTGGCTCGCCCTTCCCTGTTGAAGGACAACTGAGATCTGGTTCTATCAAGAGATGACAAGATGAGTGTGTGGCAGCTTCTACACCCTACGTGAGCTTGGCAGAAAAGATACTCAAGGATTTCTTCACTAGAAGTCCAATGCGCTATCCATTGCACGACAGAGCCACATGATACTCAAGGATTTCTAAGTCTTGGTGGTGGCAACGAGTGGCTGAGACCTCCTCTGCCATACAGGAGGCTTCTCATCTCCTCTCCCAAGGGGTCTGCCCTGCTCCTCAGCTGTGTTCCCATGGTATCTAGGTATCACGATGAAGACATTGCCTCACAGAATGCTATCTGCTTGTTAGTGTCTTCTAAGAGCACCACAAGGGCAGGGGCTAGTCTAACCTCCATCTGGTCTAATCTCCATCCTTGGGGTTCCAGTCTTTGCATCCAAACCCTCACCGCCTGCCTCAGGAGTAGCCAGTCCATCTGAAAATGAGGGAATGTGGAAACTCTACCACCTCAGGCTGCCAAGAAAATATAGCAGTGTTTGCAAGGCACGGGACCTGGCAGATCCCTGCAGCCAGCACTGACTTCCAGGTGTTTCACAACAGCTCAGCACAGCTGTTACTTTCACTGATGGAGCACAGGGAAGTGAAACAACTTCTACACAGCACCCTAACTGGGGCTGGCAAAATGGCTCAGCAGGTAAAGGTGCTTGCTGCCAAGCCTGGTAACCTGGGTTTTATCCCTGGAATTCACATATTGGACTCCAACAGGCTGTCCTCTGACCTTCAAACATGCTTCATGGTACCTGTACACCCACACACATAGTTAAATAAGTTGAAATATTGAGCTTTAAAAAAAAGCAATACTCCAGCTAGTAAGTAGTAAAGTCAGGGAAGATTTTTCTGGAAAGGGCTTTGTAATAGGAATTTTAGCCTTATGAGGCAAAAACCTGCCACACTTATCAATTCTGCTATTCACTATGTGAACAGGCATGGCTATATTTTAATAAAGTTTTATTTGTAAGATCAAACTGTGGGCCAGATTTGGTCTATGGGTTATAGTTTGCTGAGCTCTACTCTACATTGTGCTGTATATTAAATAAACAGAGGTGTTTATTATTAACTATTAATGGTTTAAGCCTAGCCCAGTGCTTGGAAAAATATGCTTTTAGTAGTTGTTAAGTTTGAACAAGATGCAATTACAAGAGCCCACTGCAAGAAAGCACACACAAGAAGACAACACATACTTCTTTCTCATCTCTTTATTATTTTTATTTATTGAGATTTGTTGAGACAGGGTTTCTCTGCACAGCCTTGGTTATTCTGGGACTCACTATGTATATATACCAGACTGGCCTTGAGCCACCTTTTAAATTTTTTTGAACTTTAAAAAATTTTTACATTCCAATCCCAATTCCCCCTCCCTCCTCTCCTCCTGATTCCCCAACTCCCCCCACACCTCCCATCCACTCTTCGGAGAGGGTAAGGCCTCCCCTAGGAAGTGTACTAAGTCTGTCCCATCATTTAGTTGAGGCCAGACCAAGGCACCTCTCCACTCCTGCACCCCTGTGTCTAGACTGAGCAAGGTATCTCTCCATATAGAATGGGCTCTACTAAGTCAGGGTGTGCATTAATGTTAGATCTTGGACCCACTTCCAGTGGCTTCATATGTTGTCCAAGTCATACCACATGCAGGTTCCCCATTTGTCAGACCTGAGTCAATGATCTCTCACTAGCTCAAATCAGCTGATTCTGTGGGTTTCCCCATCATGGTCTTGATGCCTTTGTTCATATTATTGCTCCTCCCTCATTTCGATTGCACTCCAGGAGTTTGGTCCACTGATTAATTGTGGATTTCTGCATCTGCTTCCATCTGTTTCTGGAAGAGGGTTCTAGCTACTCTGGGGTTGTGGATTGTAGGCTGGGTATCTTTTGCTTTATGTCTGGTATCCACTTATGAGTGAGTACATACTATATTTGTCTTTCTGGTTTTGGGTTACCTCACTCAGGGTGTTTTTTTCTAGATCTGTCTATTTGCCTGTAAATTTTAGGATGTCATTGTTTCTTACTGCTGAGTAGTACTCCATTGTGCAAATATTCCACATTTTCTTTATCATTCTTCAGCTGAGGGGCATCTAGATTTTTTCCAAGATCTGGTTATTACAAATAATGTTGCTGTGAACATAGACAACACATATATCTAAGGTAACTCATCTCCCTCTTCTTCAATATTACTTCCCAAGCACAGAAATGGGAACTGGGATGCAAGGATGGAGTGTGGGACTCAGGTCTCCAGAATTAGGAAGCACTCTGGTTCTGAGTACTTGAGAAAAGCTGTACACCTCAGCTTACATTTGCTTGCTCTAGACAGACTGAATAAGGCCTGCTTGACAGGACTCTTTGGAGTCCCAAAAGGACACACTGCTCTGTATGACACCTGCAATGTGACTATTATGGACACAGGCGGGACTTAGTCCTTGCTGGGTCACATCCCAGTTCTGTCCTCTAATATCCACAGATTGATGGTGGGAGACTTGACCGTGTCTACCTCCCTGGAGGAAGGAGACTCAGATGGCCTCTGGGGCCTCTATTAGTGATGCATTCACAGCTTGTGTTTGGAAATATGCAGCCAAGCTCTGGCCCAGTCAATCATTGACACAGCATTCACACCTGAGTTGTCACTGTGTCCTCTGGCACAGAGTCAAGAGCCAGGGGAGGCACAGTGCCTGTCAAGGGCAGTGCCCAAGCTGCAAGCACTTGGGAATAAGATGTCGGTCAAGCTCAGAACCACCTGTGCCCCACAGAATCCAAGAGGGCCAAGCAGAGGCAGTGTACCCCAGAAGAGGAGTTACTTCTCTCAATCTGGTTTTCCTGATGGTTCACCCCCTCAATTCCTTCATCATAACTTGATTTCCTGAGCACTGAGTATGTATGTTCCTGGCATCTCATAGTGAACAAGTTTACTCCAAATCATGTAACAGCAGTTTCAGAAAAGTGATAAACCTATGGAAGAAAACAGATGTCATAATGACCAGGGAATAGAATGGGTAGTGAGACAGGGGATGGGGTAGGCAGGAGATGGACGAGAAATGACTGGCATAGCGGGAAATAGAGGCCGTGGCCTTGGGTCTGATGACTTGAAGGTTTAAGTCCATTTGGAGGCTTTTTTGATTATTTCTTTTTTTTGTGCTTGCCTTGTTTGGGATGAGGTCACTGTGTAGTCCAGGCTGGCCTGGGACTCAGGCTCTTTCTGCTTCAGTCCCAAGAGTTAAGCATGTAGGCATACAGCATCACCCCTTACCTCAATCGTAATCCTATCTACCAAAGCTAGCATGACATCTTCTGTGTCGAGAAATGCTGCTCATGGCCCATAGAACGGATGGAAGTCAGTAACTGTGCTCCAGGTAAACAAACCCTAGGATCCCGGTTGTAGGAAGTTAAGAACCGGTGAACACAGCGTGCTGTTAGAGGTTAAGAACACGGTTACCCCTAGGTGAGGTGTGGGAGGCTTCAGCGGAGCACTTAGCATTCACATTGATTTGTGTGATTCTGGCCAGGACCACACACTATTTCAACATCTGGGTATCAGTTTCATGCACGTTTATTTTGTGAAAACTCATCAAATGCACATTATAACTTATTTCTGTATGTTTTTACCCCACAGGTCTAATGTACTTAGGATAGTGGTTCTTAACCTGTGGGTAGGAACCTCTTTGGGGTTGAATAACCCTTTTATAGGAGTTGCATAATAAATAGTCTGCATATCAGATATTTATATTACCATTCATTTAAATTAGCAAAATTGTAGCTATGAGATAGCAACAAAAATAATTATATGGTTGGGGGGTCACTGTAGAACGAGGAACTGTACTAAAGAACCTATGCGTTAGGAAGGTTGAGAGCCACTGTCTTAGGGGTTGTGGTGGTTAATGACGTCATCTGGAGAAGTCTAGAATCACATGACATAGATAGGTCTCTGGGAGCATCTGTGGGGAATTATGTTCACTGGGCTCTTTGATGTGAGAAGAGCCTTGTTAGCTCCTGGCAGAATCCTTCCCTCGGTGGGAACTTGGCTGTCAGAAATGGAGAAAGAAGGCTGAACACTGGCATACACTGTACCATTCTGGTACACCAACATGTCTTTTGAGGTTGGGAATGTATGTCCTCATTTTACAGGCTAGGATTTCTGCACTTGGATACTCCCACATAGTAGCTGGGTAATGGAAGCTGGGATTCTGGAACCTTAGGGGATATTTGGGTCTCAGTGACAGCCTTAGCATAACAGATGCAGAAATGGGATATTCTCCAAAGGTACAGAAACATGTGAGCTTTTGACTTATATTTTAAGAAAACCAATTCTTGACCCCTTTGCTTATATATCACTCCTTCCTCTTTTCATCAAGACCAGAATGGGGAAACCCACAGAAACAGTTGACCTGAGGTAGTTGGAGCTCACGGACTCTGGACCGACAGCTGGGGAACCTACATAGGACCAAACTAGCCCCCCCAATGCTGGTGACAGTGGGTGGCTTGAGCAGTTTGTGGGACCACTGGTAGTGGGACAGGATGTATCTCTAGTGCATGAACTGGTTTTTTGGAACCCATTTCCTATGGAGAGATACCTTGCTCAGCCTAGAAACAGCAAGGAGGGCTTTGGTGGTCCTGCCTCAATGTGGTGATGGGGCAGGCTTTATTGACTCCCCATGGGAGGCCCTACCCTCTCTGAGGAGCTAAAGGGAGGCTGGGATGAGGGGAAGGTGGGGGGAGCTAGAGGAGGGGAGACAGGGGGAACCGGGATTAGTATGCAAAAAAGGGGATGGGGCGAAGAAAGCCATTTCTTTTCCTATCATCTTAGAGAAGTTTGGGAGTGTTTCCTCTTAGTTAGGTTCCCAGGTGGGCTGGTGAAACTGCCATAGGCAAGCTGAGCATTGCTCTCCTCATCTATAAAATGGGAAGGCTGAGAACATCTGTTCCTTAGAGTTGCTGTGAAGGTTTAATATAAGCACAATATTCAGTACAGGGTCATAGCTGTGGCGAAAGGTTAGTGACACTTAGCTGCTGCTAATACATTCGTGTCTTGGAGTTTGGGAGAAAAAGAAAATGGAGATACTGCCTTAGGCCTGCAAAGGGTGGAATTCAAGACAAGATACTTTTGTTCATTGAATTCAGAAAAGTTCTGATTGGATTCCTTTAAATGTCTCTTCAGACGTGGTTGAATCTACAGCTTTGGTTGTTTGGTTGAGAAGACAGGTTCTCCACAAAACACGTCTGTTCAACAACAGTGAGGAAGTGGCAAATTTCGTGAAATCCAGGCCCTTGGTCATCATTGGCTTCTTCCAGGTACTGGGGTGAATAGGTGGGAAGTGATTGTCATGTAGTGAGCACTGTGTGTGGAGGGTTTCTGACTTGTAGAGGGCCCTTGCTCAATTTCCTATCCACTGAGCTGATGTCCTGGGGAGCTCCTGGTTTCAAATGAAGAAAGAAAACATGGAAGTTGAAATGTTAGAGGTTAGTTAGAAGATGGCAAGAAATGGAGAGAACAAGAGATTTGCATCCATATTTAGTTGGTTTTAGTGCTGTAACTGATCTTTGGGGGATCTATTTAGAACATCAGAGAATAAGAGGGTGTCTCTGTTTTCCAGTTTGAGAATTATTTTAACTATGATTCCAATAGGTGCTTGTTAGTTTGCTTAGGCTAAGGCAGTTTCTATCCACAAACTCTTTCCAAGTCTGCATATAAACTAAACTCTCAACACTTTATTAGGTATCCATTGGAGGGTCAATCAATTAATCAATCAATCCTCATCCAGATAATATATGGGGAGATGCTTGGAATAGTTCATAAACAATTTAAATGTGATTATGAAATGTCTTATGATACTTTCTATTAATTTTATTCTTCATAGTAATGAATCTTACCAAGTATGTTTCCTTGTAGAAAGTGAGTTTTTCATGTGTCTCAACTGATTTACTTTAGGTTGACAAGGCTTCATCTCAATAACTGATTTACTTTAGGTTGACAAGGCTTCATCTCAATAGATGTCAGTCTTTGCTGTCATATTTACATGTGAGGAGAGTCTATAGCCCTTTCTTTACTGGTTCGTTGAGAGCACTTTGGGCCAAAATATGTTTTCATGCCAAATGTTGAATCTCAAAGGCCAAAAACGCAGCTACATCTCAACACCAGCTCACATTTGGTATTATGTTCAGTCAAACCAAATGGCTTCTTCTGAAAGCGATTCAGGAATTAATTTTAGGAATATTCTCAATTCATGGGTTATGTCAGCTTTTATTTTCATAATAAGAAAAAGTAAAAGATACCTAGTTCTCTCCATTGATCTCTGTAAATTTGCCTGTGTGAGGTGCAGTCATAGTTACGGGAACATTGTAGGTGGGAAATATCCATAAAAGGGGACTTAGACCACCCAGCAAAAACTCAGAACTTAGAAAAACAAAGCCACTTTCCCCTCTAGCCAGGCACTGTTACCCCTCCAGAGAATTACAGAACATGCTTTCCCACACAGGATTTAGAGGAAGAAGTGGCAGAATTGTTTTATAACATGATCAAGGACTTCCCAGAGCTAACATTTGGAATGGTAGAAATCAAAAATGACTTCGGGCGCTTCCATGTGATCCTTGACAGCGTCCTGGTGTTTAAAAAGGTATGTCTTCATTCTATATGACCATGAGGGCCTTTCACTTCACACTAAGTGATGGCATTTGGGGACAGGCTCTGGCTCCATTACCTGTGAACTAAGTGTCTGTGAACCCTCTGATTTGTGAGAAAATTCTTTTCCTGGCCCACCCCCACCTCTTTTCCTGCTTCTCTGCCTTTGCCAGTATATGTTATTCATCAAGACTCAATCCCACAAACCTTATTTTCTGATTCATGTTTTCCCATCCATCTCTGTCAACAATTACCATAGACTCATTGCCTATAAATCTCTGTCTCCATCCAAACTTCACTTGACTCCAGATTTTGGTATGTAGAACCAGACAGTCCATCATGATTAGTGTCAAAGTCATAATATCCTCTCTGAGTTCTCTTAAGATTAAGACTTGGAGAGTCGCTGGGCATGGTGGCTCACATGAGTTTCAGATTAGCCTGGTCTATAGAGCGAGTTCCAGGACAGCTAGCACTGTTGAACAGAGAACCCTATCAAAACAACAACAGCAGCAGCACCAGCAGCACCAGCAGCAGCAGCAACAACAACAACAACAAAAGACTTAGAGAGTCATAGTAAAGAGTGCCACCATCCCCTCATTTAGTGGAGGAAGCCAGAAACTATAGGTCTTATTCTAGTATTTCCCATTTCTCCACTCTTCCCTCTTAGCCAATCCTCGGGATATGTCACTTCCCCAAATCCCTACTGTAACTATCCTAGATGAAGTGACCATCATCTCCAATAGTCCATCAGAACAGTTTTATACTGGTCTGCTCTGGTCTGCAGAATACCATTCTTTCCAAAATTGAAATCTGATGGTCATGTCCCTCCGCCTCTCAGAAAGTCTTTTAATGCTTTGTGTAAGAGGGTGTGTGTGGAGTATACATGTATGGTACATGCATGTGAATGTGCATGTGTGCACATGTGGAAGCTAGAGCAGGATATTGTGTGTCTTCCTCTATTGCCTTGAGATAGGGTCTCTCACTGAACTAGAAGCATACTGAGCTTTTGTTGGGGGGGGGTAAAGACTCAAATTCTTAATGAGATCTACAAGGTCTTTCATAGCCTGAGCTCATTTAGTGATCCAGCCCCCAACCCTGGGATCTAGACTTGAGCTGGTAGTCTTTAACTATATAGATGATATGACTACTTAGATGGAAAGTAATTACATCAAAATTTTAGTTTCTGTCCTAGTCAGGTTTTTGTCCCTGAAATGCCTAAGAAAAAGAACTCATGGAGGAAAATTTCACCCTCATAGTTTCAGTCCACCATTACTGGGGGGATTGATGGAGCTGAGTGGCTCACATCACAGCAGTGGGAGCAAAGAGGGGTGTCTGTGCTGCACGGCCTTTTCTTCTTTTCCCTTTTGTGTCTGGGTGCCTTGCCCGTGGAATGGTGTGGCCTACATTTGGGCACATCTTCCCCTTAGTTACTCCTCTCTGGAAACATACAGACACACCCAGAAAAGCCTTACTGATCTTCTAATCAAACTGATGCTAAATAGGTTGCCAGAGTTCCTCGGCCATGCAAGTAACAGCTCTAGTTCCTCAGAGTCACTTGGGGTCAGTTGGCTGCTGTGTAGAACAGCATAGACACTAGAGATTATCCCCATTGCAGCTCATCCTGTGGGCCTTCCAGACATGCCTTCCTTTCTCTCCACATACAGTTAAATGTGTATAATAGCTGTTTTACTTACCGTTGAGGTTAGTCACTTACCTGAGGTCACACTTGATAAGTCTTTGAAAAGCTTTTAAGATGAGAATAAAATAATCTGTTTTTTGAATGGGACAACATGGAGTCAGAAAGGACCAAATACATACAGAACTCTAATATATGACAAAGATAATTGAGACTAGAGGAGAAAATACTGTTATTAAATGCAGGATGTTTAGAATAACCAGGTATCTGCGTAGGGAAAATACTGAAGCTGTAGGCAGGCAGAATATGTTTCATCAAATTCCGTATGACCTGATTCAAAACTGTAATTGAAGAAACCATGTTCCCATATGATGATATAGGACAGGTTTTTTCTTCTTTTGTTGTTGTTTTAATTTTATTTTATGTAAGTGGGTGTTTTGCCTATGTGTATGTCTGGGCACCTTGGAGGCCAAATTGTATTGTATCTCCTGGAACTGGAGTTACAGAAGGTTGTGAAGCACCATGTGAGTGCTAGGAACCCAGATCCTTTGGAAGAGCAGCCAGTGCTCATAACCATTGAACCATCTGTCCAGTACCAAGTTTGTTTCCTATACATGGAATGGGGAGACCTTTCATAAAGCATGGAGAAACCATTTTAAATTTCTGTTAAATGTGTGCTATCTACATATCTAAAGTTTGTAGAATAAACCAATCATAAAATCTAAAGCCAAATAGCAATCATGGAAAATATTTTCTGGGTATCTTTGTATTTATTGTGATAAGTACATTTATTAAGTACTTGAATTCTGCACTATACCTACATGCAGAGAGGTATATTTTATTTATTAATTTTATTCTAATAGTTATTATTTTTGAAATTACAATTATACAATTTACCCCTTTCCTTTCCTCCATACAAACCCTCCCATGAACCCTTGTTCTCTCAAATTCATGGCCTCCTTCTACGTAACTAAATATACAGATACAAGCTTCTGAGTCCATATAATGTTATAGAAAGGTTCATCTTAAACAGCTAAGAATATGAACATTAAACTGCCCATTTTAAAATCCTGGCTCTCGGGTTTGGGTAAGATTGAAAGACAGAGTGCATACTTAGTGCATGTGAAGTTCCGGCCTCAATCCTAGCAATAACTAGATAACGAATGCCTGCTTCTATCTCTTACTTAGTAATCTTGGATAGGCCATTATACTTCTCTGAACCATAGTTTCTTCATGTGTAAAGTGGGAGAGATTAGATGTGAATACAATCAAGAAAGAAAGAAAATGAAGAAAGGGGAAGAGCAGGAGGGTAATATTAGTGCATGGTTTGGGAGACACTGTGAGGCCTGAGTAAACTGATGTGTATACTGTTTGCAACTCTGGTTGGCACAGCTCAGGCTCTCTAATTAGTATTATTAGACTGCTGATGTAACCAGTAAAGACATGGAACTTTGTATCCAGGGGATAACTTGGGGCTATAACACGTTGAAGCAAGAAAATGATGACAAGAATCAGATTTGTGTTCTTACAACATTAGAATTACTGCTGTGGTTGCTGCTGCTGCTGCTGCTGCTGGTGGTGGTGTGTGTGTGTGTGTAGAAGTCAGTGGAGGAAGTTCTTCAAGAGTCTGCTTGAGAAGTTTGTACTAATTTAGGACTGGTGGAGATGAAAAGACTATGTAATACTCAGACTGTAAACAATCATATTACCCCATGTTTATACAGGTATGCCACCTATTCATTAGGAAAAAATCATAGGGGTAGGGGACTTAGAAAACCTTCAGGCCACAGTGAAGGTGTGGCCTTGTTGGAGTTAAGAAGGCTGATAGATCACCTCTGATCAGAAATGCCTCTCAGGATCTCCCTGATCTGGGTTTGCCTTTGTATTCCTGATACCTTTGGCCTTTGGTATCGGTGTGGAATGGCATTCAGCCTTGGTACATGTGTTTTGATAGACCTCAGAGAACAACAGCTGGTGGTGTCATCAATCAGATTGCTTTCCACACACTCACATTCAACATACAGACTGATTTGCTTAATGTTATTATTTATTAAGTACTTGGATTATGGGCTATAACTGCCAACATCCTTAGTGTTTTACCTTCACCCCGGGTGGGGGTGAGGTGTGTTTTTACATTTGTTAGGTGTATGTATTATGCAAGCTATTGTCCTCTACCATGCTTTTTCTTTGGCTCAAGGGAAAAGTTGTGAGACGTCAAGAGCTTATTAATGACAGTACCAACAAAGATTTTCTCAATCAAATTGTAAAACAACAGCTTACAGATTTTGTGATTGAATACAACCCTGAGGTCAGTGGGCAAAGGGATGCTGGGAGGACTTCGGGAACCCTTGTGTGTACTTTGAATGACATGTTTTCCTTGCAATTTCAGAATAGGGATCTGATTTATGAACTGAGCATCTTGAATCATATGTTGCTCTTTATCTCCAAAAACTCAGAGCCATACAGCATCATAATCCGGCATTACAGAAAGGTTTCAAAGGAATTCCAGAACAAGGTTTGTAGACCAACTCATTGTAGTTGGAGGCTCTTTGGTGGGGACACAAGAGCAGCCTTGCTATTTGAGTTTCATTAGCGCCTAGCTTCTTAGTGGTTCCTTTCCCTTGATGAGGGTTCCAGAGCTGCAAGATATTTTACTTGATTTGGCAGATTCTTTTCATCCTTGTGAATGCGGATGAACCCAAAAACAAACGCGTCTTTGAGTATTTCCAGATCCCAACAGTCAATGTCCCGTCTGTTCAAATCTTGAACTTGAGCTCTGATGCCAGGTACAAAATGCCCACAGATGACATAACCTTTGAAAACCTCAAGAAATTCTGCCAGAACTACCTCAGTAAAACTGCCAAGGTAAGCTTCCAGTCAGGTAAGTCGTGTTTAGAACCTCAGAACCTTCTCTTTTTTTTAAGATTTTATTTATTTATTACGAATACAACATCCTGCCTCCATGTAAGTCTGCACACCAGGAGAGGGCACCAGATCTCATTACGGATGGCGGATGGCTGTGAGCCACCATGTGGTTGCTGGGAATTGAACACAGGACCTCTAGAAGAGCAGTCAGTGCTCTTAACCACTGAGCCATCTCTCCAGCCCCCTCAGAACCTTCTTACGATTTTGCTGGTTTCATTTAATCTATAGTAAGAGACAGAACAAAGGCCATTACCAGGTTCAGCATGGCACAGTCTCTCCATTTACTACCTTCATTCACTGAAGCAGGTAGCTTCTTCTGAGGTTGGAAACCTACTACCAGTTCTTTGGTCATAAAGAAAATTCCCAATACAAGTTCAGATGTTCTAGAAATCCTCCCTACAGCTTCATCTTAGAAAATCCACTTGACCTAGAGTTAGAGGAGAAGGAGACGGAGAAAATAGCAGCCAGGATTTAGCATCTAGAGCTTAATAGGTCTTTGGGTTGTGTAGGGTGGAGAGACATCCATGCGGCTGAAAGGGTGGGTTCAGGAAGTTAACTATGAGCACTCCTGCTGAGTAATATTGTTTACTTTACAAATGGAAACATCTTTGAGAGTAAATGGAGAATCTTTCAAACATGTTTTGGATAATGACAGGAGTACATGGAGAGTCTTCAGGTAACTCCACATCTATGGAGACTTTACAGCTGGCTGCTTCCATTCCCTTCTATTTCCAGAATGACCCTGCTTCCTCTACAGTCTTCTCAAGGGGAAGTGGTTCTCAGACTCACATGATTGTGAGGTCAAATGGAAAACCTGGTGTCCTTCCCGGTCCTTCCAAACTAATTCTCCTAGCATCTAAAACCCAGCATTCTTTGCCTTTCATGCTTTCGGTGCCACACCACTTACTTTCATCCCTTGTTGATATCCTCTGACCATCTCCTCCTGCTCTCTCTCAGGATGAAGGTTTCTCAGTGCAGATGACCTCCGTGCTACTTTGCTATCATCCCTAGGCATTAACATCCAACATGCTCTGTTCTCCATGAATTGGTGTGCACACATCATCTCAGCCTCATGATCATGTGCTCATCACCTAGACCTGGAGTTTCCTCCAAAGGCCTCATTTCAGCTTCTGCTCCTCACTTCTCCACTGACCACACTACTAAGAGCCTCATCCTTGCCATGAGCTTCTACCTTTGAATCCTATTTCAGTCTCTCTTGGGCCTTCTCCATGAACTTGGATTCTGATAACTTCCTGTCCTCTCCATGCTCCACTTCTTCTACACCCTGAAGGTGTAGAAGGCAAGCATCCAACTCCTGCTGAGCACATTTAAGATATATATGATTTCTATAGTAATGTTGGAGAAGAACAACTCCACCATGAGTCTGACTGAAATTATGGACACACCAACCAAACTTCCCTCTACCAAGAAATGCTCCAGCATCTCTGTGTAAATCCCTCCAGAGTACTTATCTCTTTACCTTTAGGTCAGTTTCTCTTCCTGTCCCATTCTTGGCTTCATGCTCAGCTCAGCACTCTACCCGTGTATCACCTTCATGCTGTAGGCCTCCTCACTTTCCATTATCACATCCACAATGTGCCTGAGACTTTCCCTAGACTCTTCTTCCTTCCAGTTAGATGTAAGGTATTTTCTACCCTTCAAAGGCAAACAAGTTCTCTTGTGCTCCCAGAATAAAGATAAACATCTTCCACATGGCCAATGATCTTCGCCTGATCTGCTTATTCCTAATTCTTCAATTTTTTGCTTCATTGCTCATCTTCTGTGTCCAGCCTACGCCCCCCCGCACACATTTATGCTTTCGGTGAAAGAACCTTTAAGTCATTTCCAGAGGCTATTAGGTGGAGGAAGGATAGTACCACTAAAGAAAAAGCAAAAGAGTTTGACTGAAGCCAGGCAGCAAGGACCTCATAAGCATATTAAAGATTTGGCATATGCAAGGAGAAACCAGATCTCTGGGATAAAAATAGAGCCTTAACTGCAGAAAATAAAGACATGGAGAGAATTTGGGGGAGATGCAGGGGCAATCCATGTGATAATCATGGGTTGTCTAGACTTGGGTAGTCACAGGGAAAGTGGAAAATAGGGTATAGACTCAAGAGATACCCAATTGGTCAGTGGTTGTATAGAAAAATATATTACAAGATTTCTGAAACTTTAAGCCCAAATAGCTGATGAACCCATTCTTTCTGCCCTTCATTTGAAATTCCCTCTATGTGCAGACACTTGATAAGTAAAGAAAAAAGTCCTTTAAGGCACGGTGTAGCATGGCAGAAAAATAATTGATAATGTTCTGACAGTAATGTAAAGGGGACATTTCAAAGAACTTATCATCTTGAAGAATAAATTTGAGTTCACTGGATAGAGGAAGGAGAGGAAATTTTGGAGAAGGCCTTCCAGGCTGTGGGAAGAACATACCAACCTGAGGTGGAAGACGGTTAGGTTTTGGGGGACAACTGATGATCAGTACAGCTAAAAAAAGCTAAGGGGGGGGGAAATGGCAATGAACTTGGGGGAAGCTGGCACAGAAATGTCTTGGTCTTGACTCTCATAGTTATTGGGTACAACCATTGTTTTCAAGAAGTCTAGTTGAGACACTAATGACACAAGTGCCACTGTCATCTGAGAATCCTGAGAATCCTAGATATGGATAAATTATAGTTCAGATCTCTGACCCCCCTCAGTGTTCTGACCCCCCTCAGCCTCTGACTCCCCTGAGCCTCTGAGCCCCCTTAGCCTCTGACACCCCTCAGTTTCTGACTCTCCCTTAGTCTCTGACCCCCCTCAGCACTCTGGCTTCCCCTTAGGTTCTGACTCCCCCCTCAGTGCTCTGACTCCCCCAGCCTCTGAATCCCTCAGCCTCTGAGCCCTCTCAGTGCTGACCCCCACACCCACCCCAGCACTCTCACCCCTGTCTGCTCTGGACAATGCAGAACTGACACTGAGTTTGTGACTACCTCTGCATTTTGAATGTTTTGAGAGTTTGTCTTTCCAAGACAGAGCCTTTTGTTGTTTGTAATTAGGGGTGTGGGGATCCTAGTTACTTGTTCCTTGTTGGAATGGAGAGTGTTAGACCTCTTAAATTTGTTTCCTAGAAACACAAATCCAGTGAAGAGATTCCAAAATATTGGGACCAAGGGCCAGTAAAGCAGCTTGTGGGGAAGAACTTCAATGTGGTTGTCTTTGATAAGGAGAAGGACGTGTTTGTGATGTTCTGTAAGTATCTCCATGGAGACAATGAGGGGTTAAAGGCCCCATTATTACTTTTCAAGTATTGCTTCTGAATTCTTGGGCAGTGCACTCTCCAAACTCATGAACTCTAAAACCAGGCCGAGGATTAATTACCTCTCTCTAAAACAGATTAGATCAAGATGCCAGCAGCCACAGGCTACTTGGTGTCCCAAATTAATTCTTAGCATGTTGAATGCTTTGCACATGATCCAGTCCTATGACAATTTGTAACAGTGACACTGGTGGATAACATGGTTTTGTTGGATGCAGAAGTATGCTAGTACCCTGGTGTGAGTCATTGTATACCTATGCCATTTAATTCCTCACCATATCCTCTTAAAAGCAGCTACTATTATGTCCTCCATGTATGGATCACTCAACAGAATCTCAGGGAAGAAGCATTCCCAGTGTCACTAAGTGCTGGAAATAGGATTTGAACATTTTTCAGTCTGGTTCTAGCATGTGCATTCATATTACCCAGAATTTCCCTGCTTTGACTTTATATGGTTCATCCAATGGTCCCTGTGAGGTAGGAACACAAATGTATTATATCAAGGACTTTGTATAGTGTGTATCATGTTGCAAGCACTCCCTAGGTTATGACTGCTGTTGCTTCCATTAAAATTATTCCCACCGCTTGTTTAAGGACCATGGACCTTTCCTATCATCTTTAGCTTATATTCCAGTACCCCAAATTAGAGACTTTTTCCATTACATACTGCTGATGACTCCAAAGCTACTTCAGACAGGCAAAGGCACTATTTAGTGAGCTTGTACACTGAGCAGCTAGGTTTAAGTGTAGCATATGGTATGTTACAAAAGGCTGTGAGGAAGGCAATGTGGCTTTCTCCATGATACAGGTCAAGGTCACACGGTAAGACCCAAAGTGAAGCCATCCCTGTGCTGATTTCATTGTACATCCTTTCACAACCTCCGTGAAGCAGATACCTGTCCACTGACAGTGCTTCTGAGAGCTGTACAGCTGAGTCATATCAATCTGCTCCTTTCATCCTGGAGCTGGGGCAGCCTTTCTGTACCTACCCTACACACAGAGTTTTGAGAGCACTCATTTGCTTCTGATAAAAGGCAAGAGCAACTTCATTTTCTTAGAAGTAGGGCTGTTGGAGTGCATCCTAGGACTTCAACCATTATTCCCTGTGTTCCTACCCAGGGCCCATCAGACTCCAGGGGTCTCTGGGTGCTATAGGCAGGAGGTTTGGTCACAGGGGACACTTGGTAGGCAAATGGATAGATAGGCTTGTAAAAGTATAATGTCAGGGCCTCTGAGGCTATTCCTCCCACAGAGTAAAACTCTTGAGTTCTGAGCTTCCAATGAGGGCAAACCAGTGAGATCTGGCTTTCTCTGTTTTGGATCTGCACTCTGGCCTCTTTCCAAAGGGCCAGCTGTCTGGCCACTCAAAGTTCAAGGAACTTTGCATTAAAAAGGTCAATGTCCCCTGCCAAGAGTAGTTGTCCCAATCTTAGCATATATCTGTTCAGTTTTTTGGGGTATATTCTCTTACAAGGAACTGAAAGGCATGGTATATTGTTATGTATTAATATATATTAGATAACATTATGCTATGCCATATTTGTAGTACAATTAAGCCCAGTGGCCAGTCTTCAAATTTTATTCCCTTTGCTTAATTTTCTGCATGACCTTGGTCAAGTAGCTTAACTTCTGTGCTGTAAACACAACACATTCTCTTGCAGACATAACAGTGGCAAAAATATTTTCCTTGGTTTTCTCTTCAACTGGAGTGGAACACTATGCCAAAAGGAAGTTTTATTTTTAAAAAACATATTAACACATGAAAAATGTCAATGTCCAGGAGGAACAGGACTAGGTTAATTTTTATTTTGGTTTACTTAATAGTGATAATATATCGAGATGCACGAATAACCTATAGTGTGAGTGAAAGTGTGGCTCACTAAGTAGATGTATGGTAAGAACACATGGGACTATGCGGCAGTAGCTTTCAGAGTCCTGCACAGTGAGAGCTGAGCTAGACCCTTGTTTTCCAGATGCACCTTGGTCTGAGAAGTGCAAGGCACTGTTGCCACTTCTGGAAGAGTTGGGTATGAAGTATCAAAACCACTCCACGGTCCTTATCGCCAAGATTGACATAACAGCAAATGACATTCAGCTGGAGAACCCAGATCAGTACCCATTCTTCAGGCTTTTCCCTACTGACTCACAAGAGGTGAGGGACTCTTGGGGCCACATAACTGAAAATGCTGTATTATTACCAGGAACTCAGCTTCTCTCCATCTCAGGTCTCTATTGAACATTATCAACTCCAGTTCCTAATGCTCTCTCATATTCAAAGTTAGAGTATTTTCCAACATATTCTATGCAAGTTCTAAAACTTCTTATTGTTTCATACAACTTGAGTACATTGCTCATTGTTGACCAATCACTGTGTCAAATGGAAGTGGATGTTTTGATTGGACAGTGATAAATTTCCTCTAGTATTGAAGCTGGGATATCACAAGCTGCAGAGAATAAAGTAAGGACTTCCCTATAGTAATATTGGGGTGGAATGCTACGAAATTAAAGAATGTGTGCCAGAATCAACATCTACCCCTGGGAATTCTGTTCTTTGTGCAACCATCACCAGGGCTAGTGGAACATAGTCTCTATTGATGGGGAAGGGTATCAATAAAAGGGGCATGAGTCAAAGTCCTTCCTTCAGACAAGAGTGGATGAGTGGGAGGTAAAGCCATAGTGACATGGATCACCTATGTATGTAATGCGAGAGCAGAATCTGGAGAAGAGATATGGCTAAAGTCTTCATGCAGACCTGGGACTCTGAAGAATGGTGGAGATTTAAATTAAAGGAGGGGACATGAACTCTATAAGTAGGGTGTGTAACATGAATGAGGAGGTGGGAAGGATGACCAGAACACTGGGAGATTCCATCCCAGTACAGAAGGTATATGTAGAGAAGCTGTAGGAAATGAGGTTAGATTGACAGGATGAAGCTATCACCAGTCTTAAGTTATGCAGAAAAAGCTTAACAAACCAGTGGACAGAAAGTAGCTTTTTTGTTTTGTTTTTATGAGACAGGGTTTCTCTGTATTGTTTTGGAGACTATCAGTCCAGCCTGGCCTCGAACTCACAGAGATCCGCCTGCCTCTGCCTCCCGAGTGCTGGGATTAAAGGCATGCACCACCACCGCCCGGCTGAAAGTAGTTTTCTAATCCCCTTAAAGACCCACAAAGCAAAGGAAACTATTATGAATGAATGCTGACCACACAGTAGGTGTTTTTCTTCTTATTGTTAAAATGCTACTAATACCAGCTATTCATATGAGCAAGTGAGTGTGTTACCTACCATAAGCCAAACACTGATTTAAGCACATTTCCTATATTAGCTCACTTAATCCAACAAAGCTGTGGGGAAGCTCCTGAAATTAATGCCATATGGGGGAAACCTGAGTCACAAGTTCAGTAAACAGACCACACTGGTAAGTATTGCAGCCAAGGGTTAGACCTATAAAGTGTGGCTTTATAGTTCATGTATGACGCATTCCTCATATCCTCTGATTAGTTTTTATCAGAGTTATGGTAAAGGAGGCTCACAGAGGCTAAGGCACTTTTTTGGTAGGTCCACATTGTTAGGAATTTGATCCCGAGTTCCTTTTTGTAATGCTATACGAGCAACTTATAAGAAGAGGCTCCCATCTTAATGCTGCTTTGTTGTCTTCCTAGGCTGTACTGTATAAAGGAGAACACAGCATGAAGGGATTTTGTGACTTCCTGGAGCGCCATGTCAAGATTAGGGTTGAAGAAGAGGATGAGGTAAGGGGCAGAGCTACAGGCTAGGTCTTCTCTCATGCACAAATTACCAGGAAGCCAATGACCCATATAAAAACTATGTGTTGGGTACTATCAGTTATGTCATTCTCCCTGGAGATGGTTTTGAGGCTGCATGGACAACCACTCACTTTGTGTGAGCTCACTAGTTATTTTAGGGGAACTTGTGAGAAGGAAGTAGAAATGACAACTGTTAGAAAACAGAGTGAAGGAACATACAGCTTCAAAACATCCTGTTTGTCATTTTCCTGAGATCAAATGTCTCAGTGAAAGTCTGCCCCCTGACATTGCTGCCCTGATGGATGTGACCAGTCTCCTTTTTCTCCTAACCATGCCACAGTGGGCTAGAAGGTGCCACCTGACTCAGTTAGGATGCTTTTTGTAGCTAATATCAAAGACACTCCTAGCCTGCTTTAGCAACAATGGACATTTATTTACGTAGTAGGACATTTTGCACAGATGGACCCAGAGACTCTTATCTGCCTTCTGTCTTCCCATATGTTTTCTTCTGTCTTGGCAGTTTTCTCAAGCAGTCACTTCCCCACAGACGGGGCTCTAAACTTACCTCCTCCCAGGTGAGAAAGATGAAATCCACTTTTCAGTAGTTGCAACATGTATGCTAGAGAGGGATCACATTAACTAAGCCAAAGTTACCTGCTTTGTCCTGGAGTTAGGGACTTGGCAGCCACACCTTTCCTAGAGGAAGTGTGCTCCCTGAAAAAAAAGGGGTCAAAACCATAATGGGCACTTTGTCATCCCACTGTCTCTATGAGGATACTTAAGCCAAATGTGATTCTTTCTGGGCTCATGCAGAACCCATTGCCACCTCATGATCATGCATATTTCTTTATTCTCCTTCCCCTTCCGTCTCTTGTTCCCACATTTTCTTTAACAGCTATTGTCCATTGAGCAAAACGAAGTGATTGAGGAAGAAGTGATAGCTGAGCCAGAGACTCAGCTCACAGAGAAGTTGCCTGAGCAGCCATTGCTCAAGCTGGAGGATGCAGCCATAGAAGACAGGCAAGCGAAAGAGTCATCTGTGCTGGGGAGCATAAGCGAGCCCACAGAGCCAGTGAGAAGGACGGAAACAGTTGAGGAGGAGGAGGAGGAAGAGGAGGTGGCTCAGCGGAAGCAACCACCTCAACCAGGGAGGAAACCGGAAGTCAAAGAAGAACTTTAGCTTCTCAGAAGCCAGAAAAGAAGGAGCCTAATTCCAGTTCCTGACATCAGTTTCTGAGCGAATCTACTCTGACAATGCCATATATCATGTGGTAGGGTGGGTGGGTGGGTGAGGAGTAGACAATAAAGCTCATGAGTGTCTTTGATCTTCTTTGCTCATTTCCTCTTGATTGGTGCTAACTGGAATTCAGCCAGGGCTGCAAGAGAAGCCATGATGCCGATACTTAGTAAGTGTTCACAACTTCCCACCCTTGACCTCCATCACTTGAGGCCAGCTTCACTGGCCTCATTTACAGCTCGGAAACTAGAGGCACAAAGAGATGAGAAATCAGTCAGAACCACACAGTTTGAGGACTGTTGATAGTATTATATCTCTTACATCACTCTAGAGCTCATCTGCTTGTCACTATGCATGACACCTTGGGCTAGTTGGGCCACCTCAGGAGTTTGGCTAAGTCTTACAAATGAAGTGCATTGACAGGCTTATAGTGCAATTTGACACCATAAGAGATCCAACTCTAAGCTTGTCTCTAGATGTCTACATGCTAGTAAGTGACCTACGATCAAGTAGTCATGCCAGAATCATCCTGTGGTCTTTTCTCTTATGACTACAAACTTGATGATCCACATAATTTTACCTAGTTCCCCTCCATGTGACTCCACTCTCCTTTTTCCATGTGACCCCACATACTTCCTATGTACTCCAGCGACTTCCTTTCATGTGACCCACCCTGTTCTTTCTATGTGATTCTGCCCATCCATGTGACTCCACCTACCTCCCTGCATTGCTGAGAGTAGCCCAGCATTTCCTGAATGCAGAAGATTCAAAATTGATCTATCTCCTGATATTCTCTGTGTCCTCTCTCCACTTCCCCCTCACACCCATATTCCTACAACTGTGGAGATATTTTCAAACAACAGAGTTCTCAGTGTATCTGCCCCATCTCCATCCTTAACTGGCGTCTTCATGGCATTTAGATTGTTTCCAATCTTCTTTTTATTCCTGGAGAGTCTTGAGAGGTCTAGGCCTGCAGATCTTTATTACTCCTCACTTCTCGAAGTTTCTATGTGTCATCCACATATCTTGTGTATTCTTTGTTCACAACAAATTCTCTCTATGGGGCTGTTCCCTCTATCTGAGTATGTGTCTTCAGAATACTTAGCACTCCCCATCTTCACACAACTGAGGTTTCAACATTCAAATCTTAACTCAAATGTTGCCATGTCTAGGAGGTCCTCCAGGACACTAATATTTGAAAGCACTTTGTTATTTCTTCAAGTGATTGCACAATGCCTGCTCCCATCCCCACCATGACTAGTCCCATGAATACAGAGATACTACTTTCTTAGTGCCAGCTGTGTGTTCTGCATGGTACATAGTAGATGCTCAATAAATGTTCTTGGAGAAAATGGAATCATCAGGTAGCATCCTCTCTCTGAGGTATACATGATTTCATAGTTCTCCAAACAATACTTTTCTGCAAAGCAATATTCATGGATCCCAGGGATTAGGATATTGGTATATTTGTGGGTCATTATTTAGTCCTTCATATTCATTCTGTTTAGGTGATTTCATTGGGGGCTAATGGGACTTCCGAGGAGAAGTGAGGACGATTATTGTAGGGACTGTGTGTGCTAAAAACCCTCTGGGCCTCTGTGCTTTCCACACATCACACAAAGCAAAGTCTATTTATATTTTTAGATCCCTAGAAGCAGTCCCCCCATACCTGATTTACCCACATCCAGGTGGAACAGGGAACAGCCTGGGGCCCTGGAACTCAGTAGAGCCATATGCCCCTATGGTGTTAGGTTTTAGTATTCAAGGCACGGTGCAAGACTCAACTGCCTTGACCTCACAGCCATGTGGTTACCTGTCAAAGGAGGGGCCCATGGGGGTTGCTGAGACTAATCACGTGGATCAGAACCCATGACAAGCAGTGAAATAGAGAACAAGGCTGTCACGTGCATGTTCCACAGGTGTACTTGGAGCCTCAGAGGTTGGGAGAGAAGAAACAGCAGAGGTGGGGCACAGATACCCCTCTGTTGGGAAAGTCTTCTCAGCTCACTTTCTATTCCTTCCCAATGTATCTCCCTGTCACTTGAACCCCTTTTGTCTGCTCAGTTTCTCAAAACTGGCCATCCTTTCAATTCCAGCCTACCAAAAAAGATGGAACCACTTGTCACTCTGAGACTCTTCTATGGCTAAGTAAAGAATACTCTTTGCCCCTCAGTAAATAAGATTGACTGAAGTGGTAAATCTCAATGTAATTTGGACTTCAATTTGCAGCTAGTACTAGTTAGCTCTGCAACCTTGGGAAGTTACTTAGTTTCTCTGAACTTCAGTCTTCTCTCCTATTTCACTGAGACAACATATAAACAGAGTCTGGACATCTTTAATCTCCAAATAAAATTTCCAGTACCAGGGATGAGTTACATCTAATTCAGTTGTTGGCCAAAAGGGTCCAATTGGTATCTCCAAATAATTCAGATTACTGCCAAGGCTTTTGATCGCTCTCTACAAGCTGACAGTAAGGCCTTGTTGATGAAGACAACATCTACATAACTCATTGAACATGGAGAAATTGATCTGGTTCCTACAAAGAGTCTTCACCTCCATAGACTAGTGTTCATGAGCCTAGAAGGTACACTGGATTCTACCAAAGGAGAAAGGTAAACACCAACCCAGCCACAAACCCTTCAACATACAAGAGTAACCTGCCTGCAAGATAAACTGGTGTAATAGTGGCAAAGAGCTTGTGAAACTAACCAAGCAATATCTAATTTGAGTTAAGGCCCACACCATGAGATGGAACCCATACCCAATGGTACTTATATGGGCAAGAACCTGAGACTAGATAGGCTAGGGACCTAGGGGAAACCCTAACACTATTGTTCTACTAAAAAGACTTAATAAAATGACTCCCAATGGCATTCTTCCATATTTAAATCAGTGCCTGGCTCAGCTGTAATCAGAGAAGCTTCCTCCTGCAGCCAATGGGAACAAATAGACCCATTGCTATACAATATGCAGAATGAGATACCTTGGAACACTCAACCCTAAAGGGGGTGCCTCCAACAAGTCCCTACTCTTAGGGCTTAGGATACCCTGCAGAAGAGGAGGCAGAATGAGTGTAAGAGTTAGAAGGGATGGAGAACACCAAAGAATCAAGGTCTTCAAGACACAACAGGGAGGAAGAACATGAACTCACAGACCCTGAGGCAGCATACACAGGGCCTGCACAGATCTGCACCAGATGGGGTTCTAGAGTTTAAAGGAGAAGTGGACACATGCCTCCATCCCTATCCAGAAGCAGACTCCAGTTGATAAGTACTTGCAAATGAAAATTAGTTTCCTTCAAGGGAGTCTCACTAAGGAAACAAACCACTCAAGTGTAGATCCATGCCTGACACTAGATGGACAACACAAAATGAACTCAGTGTCCTCTTTGGAGGTTCTTTGTCTCATAATATTAAGTCAGGGAGCTTCCTTGTTTCTTCCTACCATACAGGTCCTTATTATGGTTTCCAGTTTGGAGTTTTCATGGAATTCCTGAGTTTTTGAATGTGTGTGTGTGTGTGTGTGTGTGTGTGTGTGTGTGAGAGAGAGAGAGAGAGAGAGAGAGAGAGAGAGAGAGAGAGAGAGAGAGAGAGAGAGAGAGAACCTATATGTGTTTCCTGTGCTCTTTCTTTGGTTCTTTTCCTTTTTTTTCTTTTCTTTTTTTTTGGTTTTACGAGACAGGGTTTCTCTGTTTTGGAGGCTGTCAGTCCAGCCTGGCCTCGAACTCACAGAGATCCGCCTGCCTCTGCCTCCCGAGTACTGGGATTAAAGGCGTGCGCCACCAACGCCCGGCTTGGTTCTTTTTCTTATTTGTTTCATCGTTTTCTGATTTTTAATATATTTTATTATTGCTCCTTAGATGCCTATTTGTTTACTAATGAGATACAAACAGTGTGGACCTTGATGGGACGAGAGGTGGGAAGAATTGGGAGGAGTATTTTTGTTTACTAATGAGATACAAACAGTGTGAACCTTGATGGGACGAGAGGTGGGAAGAATTGGGAGGAGTATGGAAGAGGACACCATAATCAAAGTATATTGAATATAAAAAACTATTTTAATAAAAGAAAAAGCACTGTGTAACCAAGAGAAGCACTTGGTACGCAACAGTTGTCATTCAAATCAAATGCCATATCTGTGTTGGTGAGTTAAGAGAGAAGAGTGTTTCCAGGGAGTCAAGTCTCCTTCAAAACCAAGTATGTACTGAGTGAGGAATAAGATTGCATTTGACAGCAATCTTGCATTTGCCTTTGATGGTGTGGAGTAATTTCAGTGGAGTTGGCACTTGGGAAAGCATACTGGTGTGAACTGGAGAGAGTATATACATCCTTTGAGAAATATGGTCACGAAAAATAGGGTATAAAATATCTTGGTGTGTGTGGGATCAAAGGAGTGTCTGAAGGTTATTCTATATAGGAGGAAGGGATAAATGGAGAGAAGGGAAAATATTGGAGCACCTAAGGAGAGAGGGATCTTCCCAAGAAGTGAATGACGTAGCCTTCATCTCAAGAAGAAGAGATGTAGGCAGCCCAAGACAATGAGAGACCAACAGCATCCATGAAGGATGCCTGCAAGTCATTTAGTGTGCATAACTGGTGAGAGCAGACAAGGATTAAGGAAGGCAAAATGAGTAAGAAAATGACTGAAAGAGACATACCAAGGATGGTACACCTATATTGAGTAAAAGTAATGGTTCTTGTCTCAAAATGTAGGTTTTAGCATTATGGGGATAAGGCAAGGCCAATGGCAAGGTGACACTGCCATCAACAATCTAGCTTGTTATGTTCATAGATCCTAAGGTAAGGGGACATGGCATGCTATGGAGGCTGAAGGAATGGAAGAGGAAGGTATTTGCAGAAGTACCAGAGGAATCAGGAAGGAAGGGATCAGGAGGGACTGTGTTGTGTGTGTGTGTGTGTGTGTGTGTGTGTGTGTGTGTGTGTGTGTGTGTGGTGTGGTGTGCCAGTGTGCATACATGTGCCCATGAGTATGTGAAGGCCAGATGCCATTCTTGGGTGCCATTCTTCAGGGCCTAT